CCACGAGGTCGCAGAGATCCGCGATGCTGAAGCCATCCACACCTGAGTGCTCAAACCCCTTGACTTTTTGCTTGCTAAGATGCTTGTACAGGTTTATAACTTACAACCCTTCCAACGACTCCCATCCAGGCAGTAGAACCACTTTCTAACGATGTTTGTAAAGGTTTATAACTGAGAACCCTTGCGACGACTCCCATCAACCAGTAGAACCAACTTCTACAATGGTCAACGGGTTTTGGGCGCTGCTCACCCGGCCAGAGGCCTTTGCTTCCGCGCGCTTCGCGCGACGCGGAGTTGAGTGTGGCACGCCCGCCCCAGGCATCCAGAGCTCCCTCTGCGAGCAGCGCCTGCTCCACCTGGCATGGACATCGAGCGGACAACCGGATTTTGGTCCCAGCACATGGAAGAATCGGGCCAATCGATTGGCCAGTTCTGCCACCCAAATCAGGCCAGCTTTGCATCCCAGCCCTCCTCCACCTGAAAAAAAAACAACAGATGTGGCCAAACTGCCAACTGAGGCCCACAACCTTCAGCTGAACCAGCGCCATGAGAATCTCCGGCCGCTCCTATGGCCGATTGAATTGTTGGGCGCTCACGTGCATCAAGTGATCTCCTTCAACTGAGGCTGACGAATTGCCACCTGCATGATAGATTGCATGCTCAAATTGGGTAGGGTAAGTTCGGAATCCGGAGGCTACGAATCAGAGGAACCTAAAATGAAACAAAGTGCCCCTGATTCGTATCCTCCGGACTAATCCGAAGTTGAAAGGCAAGCAACCTTGTGCTCCAGCGCTGGCCACGTCCAAAGCCTGGCGGTCTCTTTTTGGGGTTGGTTGAAAGGGACACCAAAGAGACATTTCTGGGGTACCCCATTCTGACACATGGGTGTCGCTCACAACTAAAAACCCAGGGTTACGCAGGTTTTATATTCTTTCCATTTGCCAGGGTTCCATTTTGGGCCCCTATTTTGACCCACAGCCACATTCCCACATCTGGTAAGTGGTGCCGGCACGGCATCCGGTGCACGGACGAATCATCCGGGATGGTCACCACAAAGGCGACTCGGGCACCGCTGGACCGAACCTGACCATCGAGACAGCACAATTTCCATGGTCCTAGCTGTGAAATGGGCATGAGACGGCACCTTGTTTTGGAGCTTGGTTTGAAGGAAAACCAAAGAGTTTTCTCCCCCAGAAAAAGAGACACCAATCCTGTGGATGGACAATATCTACTTTTCACCAGTTCGGATGCATGAAACCCGACGGGTACTGAGAGAAACCTCCTACTGAGTGGTGCAGGACTCTGTCCGTCCACAGGGGTCACTGGTCTGACGTGTCCCACCTCTGGAAGCAGGTCCAGCAACATTTCGGCCAGCAGAGACGAGCGCTCCTTCCACTTGATTCAACATTCAAGTGGGGGGTCGAAACCGATTGGTTCTAACAACATAGATCCACCTACTACTTTGTCGGAGGCGGGGGGAGATGTTAGGCGCTGCTCAACTGGATTTTGTCTCCAAAAGGAGAAGCTCCCCCAACGTGGATGGTTTCTCTTTGGTTTCCCCTTTGGTTCTTGAAATCAAGCCAGAAGTACCCTCAAAAAAAAAACAAAAAAATCACCGGCAGGCAGAATATGATGCCATCCTCCGTGATCGAGAGGTTTGGCGCACCAGGCTCCACATCGGGACCTAGAAGGCTGGCAAAAACTTGCGGGTCAACAGAAGCTGGTTGTAATACAACTACAAGAATAGCAACTACTTGGGGGTTGATCAAAAGGTCCTTCACATGGGATGACCATTGGTTGGGAAACCACTGAAATGAGGTGTGTACGATTTTAGGGGACCCCCTGAAAGATTGGTTGTCTTGGTATTCCTTTAACCCACAAACATGGGGGTATCCTGAAAAAAAGACTCACCCTTATTAAGGTAAAGTGACAGTTCTGTTAACTTCGGATGAATCCAGAGATTTTCACTAATCAAGGATGGCTCCCGATTTACCAAGGACGGTGAGCTATCTTTGGGGGTCCTTTGTCTTGCAGGGTTTTACGGATACCAAGGAAAACATTCGCCTGAGGCTGGACGTCCCGGGGCCGGCACAAAGCGCACCAAAGTCATCAAGCCTCGCCCCGATGGGCTCGCCGCGCTCGCTCGCTCGCATGACTCGCACTCCCGCTGAGGTTCCAGCAGCACCACACAGGGGGAATACCAGCAAGCAAAGAAGACCACGGCGCGCAGCCACTCCTATGCATTCAATCCGTAGCCACTCCGCAGCCACTCCGCAGCCACTCCGCAGCCACTCCGCAGCCACTCCCAGCGCGCAGCCCCTTTTTAGGGGATTAGGGAGACAAAAGGGATTCAAATGCACCGGTTTCAGCGGTCCCAGAAATTTTTGGCACATGCCCAAATTGTTTTTGGCCTGAACTGGCAAACTGGCAAACCAAGAAGCAAACGGAGGAATATCTCCCGTCCCACCATCTCTCTACCTTCATTCCCTTTGTTCTTGGTTATTGGCTGAGGTAGGGAAGCTTCCAACAATGAACGTAGAGAATCTGAGGTCAAGGAAAGGTAAGAAGTGGAAGCCAATCAAGCTAGGAATGGCATGGATAACCTCACTCTCAATCTTCTTCTCCTTATCCTAGCTTGTACTGTCTGTCTTGTTCATAATCTGTTCCTTCGGACGAGTTGAGAATGGTGGCACACCTCGTGCTGACCGTTTCCCATCAGTGCAGCCAGACCTGCACAGTCGTGAACTTCTTCGCTGGGCCCAGCTTGCCACACATCACCTGACACCATCTGAGTCAGTCAAACCGGTTGGGCTCTGCCTACCCTGCCCGAAACCCAGGGTAAATCATCAAAAGGGCTACCTGCTACATTTCTGGATGCGAGTCTCCCTTACCAACCTTCACTTTCCCGGATTTGAACTGTGACTCATCTCAAACCGCCTGCAGTGGCAAAACTCCATCCGCCATCATCTGCGAGAGAATGCGCCGGCACAGCCTGGTTTTGCCGGACCTCGGGAGCGAACTGCATGAGAGGACCAGATTGCGAACTGGACACCCGGCCCGGGAGATCCGGTGACAGCAACCATGCCTCGGCTCTTCAAGACACAAAACGTGTGAGTGCAATCAATGAGCTGCCTGGAACGGCCACGCCAAGTCTGGGGTCTGCGGTCTTCGCAAACCTGGCAGTCCAAGCCGCAAAAAGGGGCAGCGTAAGCCGAGAGTCTGCTGGGAAACTTGCAGGGCTAAGTGCTGAACATGCCACCCTTCCCACTGGCACCCAAGCAGGCCTGGAGAGGCAGTCACTTGCACAACACCAGCGAGCGACACTTGCGCTGCCCATTGAAAGACGCCTCATGATCAGCATCACCAGCATACCGACACTTCCCATCAAGCCAAGTGCTAGTAATGCAGGTGATGCTAGCGATGCGGGCAATGGAAATGCAGATGATGCAGGTGATGTGGGATATCCCTGAATTGCTGCCCCGAAAATCCGTCCTGTAGGTACCGATGCAGCGTCTCGGCCGACTCAGACACCATCGACATCGCGTCAATGGGCCCAGAGCCTCGCGCAACACCACAGATCCACAGCTAAAAGGCGCCTCGAATGCCGAGCTTTGGGCAAAAGGGCGGCACCAACTCCACGACGCCCGTCCAGTCCTGCAAGTGGATCATCACACCGGAGGTGAAAAAACTCCAGCAGCCTCGGGGGGATCTCGAGGCAGGCCCGACCAGAGACGACCTGAACGCTTCGGGGCTCTGATCCCGACGGCTTATCTCAGTCGTCAAATCGAGTTTCGTCCATCCCAACTGACGCCGATCGATTCGGTGCACAGCAAGTCGCCTAGAGGGTCCATTTTCGGTCTGGAAGGGGCGGACGTTCCGCCTGACAGATCTCACTCTGATGCGCGGCGCAGCGCGCTCTGGGCTTCTGACTTTGGGTTCTGTATGGCCATAAAACTCAACTGCCTGACCCTTAACCATACCAGCCAGGGGTTTTGGTTCCAACATGGTAAAGGTTTGGGCCTTCAAATTCAACCAGCTGGGTTTCGGCCGACATTGGGCGCTCAAAGCAACCACTAAGCCTCGCACTTTCCAGGTCTGCAATGGTCACCATGGGCTCGCCCCCAGAGATTCTCGCAAAGGGCGGCTCCCGTCCATTCCTCGCTGTGAAGCTTGGGATGGGATCCACATCCCCATGAAACTTTGATCAAGCACAAGCCTCAGCGGTTGGCGGACATGAATCGGGACCCACCAAATTATGATGTCCAGGATGCTAAACCCATGAGTTTCTCTGAGGGCCGGGGTGTCAGGCCTTGAGCTGATCCTTGCGAACATTGTTCATGAATTGCTCATAGTGGGCATCATTTAGGCCGGTTCCGTTAATGTCACCCAACCAATTTTGAGTTTTCTCGACTAAGACCAGCCAAATTACACTTGGGATCCGGCTTCTCGGCTGATCAAACGACGTCCCAGTTCAGCCTTTTTGAGGTTCCGGCCGGAGGTCCCGAGCAGCACCCACTGCAAGTCGTATGTACACAAGAATGGCCTGGCAGGCTTCAATAAATCCAAAGCTTAGCCAAGAAGTGCCCTGCAATTCAAGGTTCCATCTCTTGGTGACCGCGCGTCTACAAAAAACTCAAAGCAGATGTGCCATTTAAGCGATTCCCCTTGGCAATGGAAAGTGGCACCTGCGGAGTCTCCATCTGTTCTGGGCGGCAGGAGCTCGAATTGGGCAGCCTGGGCCATGCTTGACCGATTCACCTGAAGGGCGTGTTACATGGAGTGACATGAACCGAGCTGTTGGCATTTCGACCAAGTCCAAACCCAGGTCGACCTTCAGGGAAAGCGTTCAGATCCCAACCTTGCACCACCCGACACGCACGCCGCACCACGTGCCCCTTTTTTCAATCCAGCCCAGGTGTCCTCCTGGATTGACCCAAAGACGGCAGCGTCTCCAACTCACACTTTGGCAAGTCGCGAGCTGCGCTCCGGACTTTTGGGACTCAGACATCGCCCACGAACACGCCGCCGTTCCGGTAGGTCCCTGCCGGATATCTGGGCAACGTGATGCCTTTGGGCTCGAAGACCTTGATGTAGTCAATGTCGAAGTAGGCCTGGGTCTTCAGAGGCTCTTCCGCCGATGGGTTCGAGACGTAGAGCGTGCAGCAGTCCGTGGCTGGCTCTGTGACATGGCCTGGGATGCAATAGTTCGGCACATAGCCGGTAGCTTTGCAGGTCTCACTGGTAAACCATGAGTTCCCGGCCCAATCGCCGCAAAGGGCGATGTTGAGAACAATCTCCTGAGGCCGTGCAATGTTCATGCAGGTCTCAGCATCAAAAGGCATGAAGGCCATTCGCCAGTCATCTTTCCACGTGTTTGGCTGAGGCAGGTCCGACTCCAAGTCTGCCGGAATCTCGCTTGCTGGAATATGGAAGCTGGTGATTCCGCTTGCATCCCACAGCAAGGCGATGACGCCGGGATTCTTGGCAAACCACTCGCCATCCTTCCGAACCTGAGCCAGGGTCGAAGACTCACTGATCCCTCAAGAGGACATGGACATATGGCGAGTTCCGGGTTTTACGGGAAACTTCGTGACTTCTCCCAGGTCCACCTGAAATTTACCCTCTCTTTTTTCTTTTCCTGACCGACCTGAGGGGGCATGCAGCCCAACTCATTGCCGGAGTAGTTGGTGTAGCAGCTGAGAATCATCTTGGGATCGATGTTCTTGATGTTCTTGGAGCACTTCTTCAGCTTGGTGATGTTCATCTTGCACTTCTGATCCGTGTGGAAGGTGACCTGGGGTTTCGTGCGTCTCAAAACAGGAGATCAGACAAATGCGAACGGTTTCCGGTCGGTTTCCCTATAACCACCAACCAAAACCGGCCCGAAATGCACTTTGAGCAAGAGAAACCGCTCCAAAGGTTTGGGTTTTTAAGTGTTTGGCTCGGGGTTTCCCCGCGGATTTCGGGAAGCTCCCAATTGGGCATGAATTCTAAGTTGGGACCCTCTGGTGAACATCATTCATGTGGCTCATGTTCAGCGCACTTTGGAGGTCAATTCATAGCCATGACGAGCCATATCCACCTTGTTCTCTTCATCATTGGCATACTCCAAGATGTCCAGCTCGCCTCCTTTCGGCCAACTCACATCGCCTAAGTGGATATCCATGAGGAAAACAGCATTGGCACCCTTTGGCTCAATTTCAAGGGAAACCCGAAACCATCCAAAAGGAAACCGCTTGTCTTTGGCTGGATTTTGCAGCGAAACTCAAAACTCGAAGAGTTGGAAAAAAGTGGACTCTGCTTGCAGGGGCGCTGTTCACCATCCAAAAGGCGGGCCACACGCCGGCACCGTAGGGCACGTGGTTGTACTTCATGGCCACGATGAAGCCGACATCCGGGCGCCAAGCCTGTGCCGAGTGAAGCATCACGGAGCCTCGGTTGGTCAAACTGAGCTGCAAGTGATCACCGGCGAGGGCCAAAATGTATTCTCAAAGTTAAACGTTTAAAGTCAAAAGCTTTGCTGGCTCAGGAGATAAAATCGTCATTCTCCAAGAGGTTAAAAAAGGTTGGCTCCTGAGATCAAGGAGCGCCGCTTGAAGGGCTGCACTTGCTCTCCGACCCGGAGGATGGCGCCGGCCTTGGAGGCGTGCACCACGCCCTGGTGGAAAGCCTCGGACTTGTTGAGGTACCATTCTGCGCCCCTTGGCCAAGGACGCAACCAGTTGATCACTCTAAAGGGGAGCTATGTTGGTACAGAAACGACAACTTCCTAAAACCGTCCTTGGTTTTGTCACATCCAGCCAGCACAGTATCTCCACTTCCCCCAAAAAAACGCACAATGACCCCGGCGTTTCGTCACATTCCCCGCCTGGTTTCGCTCTTGTTGATGAACTGCCAATCGTCGAAGAAGGTCTCACCCTGCGCCTTCCATGCCTTTGGCTCGTTCGGCCAAAAAAGCAAAACTCAGAGTGGGATAGCTGCTAGGATTTGGCCAGGACTTAGTTCGATTTCGGGGGATAGGGCAATGCGTCTCATAAATCCAAGTCTAAGAAGTCCAGGCGCTTTGGAATGCTAGACCAAACCGAGATGCGAGCTGGTACTCGTCATGCAAACTTTCGCAGCCCGTGGCACGGTGGGCGTGGAAGGGTGGCAACCCGAGGGCCGAGCCTTCAAAAACCATGGTGGGCCCGTCGTTCATTGGCAAGCACTTTCGAGGGCCTGTCAGATGGTTGGGCCAACAACGCCTTTTTTGGGAAACTGCATTTTGGGTTTACCCTCTCCACTAACATGGAACCCACCGGAGGGTCCCTTTTGAAGGAAAAAGTCTTAAAAGACCCAGTCAGGTTCCATGTTAGTGGACAGGAGCGTAGGTCCATACATGTGTCAAAATATAACTAGTCCAAAAAGAAGCTGCCTGAGATGACGGCGTTGTCGTTAGGGCCAGTGAAGGACTTGGGAAAGGCGTTGTAGCTGGTAAGGAGACAGCCACCATCCTTCCAATAAGAGAAGTGCTCACACCCGAAGGTGGTGGCACACAAAAGTTGGCACGCGGCCGGTGTGGCCTGGGGAGTCTTGGAGGAGCCGGGCATCGCAAACTCGCCATTCATCTCCACATAAAAGGTCTTGTTCTTCCAGCACTTCGGGGTTGCCATCCCGGTGATGTCGAAGTCCTGCAACAACTTGGATTCATCGATCTTCACCGGCTGCGAAACCGCCGAGCTTGTCGAGCTCGTGGAGCTCGTCGAGCTCGAGCCCGACAGGGCCAGGATCACGAAGGTGGCAACGGCCGCTGCCACTGCCCCGGCGATCTTTCCCCGACTGAGCTTGGGAGGGTTCGCCTGGATCACCTCTCCGTGCTCGCAGGCCATCAAGGGATCCACCGTCATGGCCATTCAGAAATTCCTGCCCTGGTGGCAGCCGCTATTGATAGGCTAGGAAAACGATCGCAACATTTGAGCTGAGAAAACCGCCGTGCACACGTGTATATATATATATATATGTATATATATATATGTGTATATATATATATATATGTATGCAAAGCATAGCCCTCATTGACATGAGTCTGCACATGTTGCAAGTGAGACAAGGGAGGACAACTGAAGCACAGTCATGCCTCGTACACACCGCACTCGGCATCTGCGCAAATTGGAAGCTCTTGCCGCCTGGGCTGCTGCGATAATCGGCCCCAAATGAGTGAGACCTGAAGCAGCTGCTGATAGATGTCATCGATGTCAGACAGGCCCTCGTATAAATCAGCCTGCGCCGGCAATGTGACATCGAAAGAGGCAAGAACTGCAAATATGCACAGCTGCAAGGCCATCTGTTTGGTCTCATCTTGCACTTGCAAGAGGCACCTCTGAACCACTGCCTCAGCTTGAATCACACATTCTTTGCATCGCAAAGCACACAGCTCGCGGCGTAATTCAACATACTGCCGTTGGGATTTGGGGGTTGATCAAAAGGTCCTTTACATTGGATGATGGTTCGAGACACTGCTAAAAAAACGACATGTCCCACTAAATGGGAAAAGTTGTCCAAAGTTGATCAACCCCCATTTATCAATCCAGGGTATGGCCAAGCCCTTGACGAAGCCGTGGTTCAACCACCCCGTCTAAACCACCTCTTTGCGGCGGGGACCGGGAGGTAAGCCGCTGACCCTGATGTTGCACTCGAAAACCAAAAGTTGGTGTCCGCTTCTATGCACCCAGCCGACTGTGCAGGTGGATGCCATGGTCGGAGCCAGCGAGTCCTTCACCACGTCCTCGGCCTGGGGTCCGAGTGTTGCCCATTCGAGCGAGTGCCCATGAGATTGGTCCACTGGTTCAAGTGGCCTGTCCCCCATCGGTCCTCCCTACTACCAACAGCACCCAAGTGCATGAGGGATAAGTTCAAGGGGCTGCAGCGTGCAGCGCCTGAGGCGAAAGCATCCTTCTCAGGCCGCAGGAGTAAGGGCGCGCCGTCTGCCAAGTGAACCTCGCCAGTCTCACTAGTCCGTTCAACAGGTCCCACTGGATTTACCACTTGAAGGTTGCACTTGAGAAGTGAAACTACCACTGTTGGAGGAGGCAAAAAGGACAATTCAGGGACCCCGTTCGAGACCACCCGGACTTTCGCACCCGCGAGGCTTGACTTTGGCCTCGGCCTCGACGTCCAGCTATTCAAGCACGGACAGGCGTCTAGATGACAGCCACCAAATGGGGGTCTCTCTCAAAACGCCGCCTCGACCCCTCGTTCGGCTTGCAGAAAAGGAAGCCATTGGAAGCCAAAGGAAAACCCAATCATTCTCGGGGACTGAAACCTATCTTGAGAATCTTTCGAAGGACCGCAGAACCTCAGCGCCCGCGCTCAGCTGAATTGCTACTTCCGTGCGTGGCGCAGCTTGGCCATAGCTCGCCGCTTGGCAAAGAAGCGGAAGAAGAAGCCTTCCTTGCGAGCTGCCGCTCGGTGGCATGCGCAGTAACCCAAGCAAACAATTGACATGAAACACCTGCCAACCCCTGACACCAACCAATCCTTGTCTGCTCAGCCGATGTTTGTTTTGCCAACGAGAGGCCGAAAACGCGAAGCACGCCAGCGCATAGTCCGGAGCGTCGCCACAGATCCCCTCCCAGCAGGCGCCGTCCGGCTCCACGAAGTGACCCCCGTTCGCGGGCACGTCGAGCCGCGGCGCCGGCGACAGCTGGAAGGCCTCGCTCAGCTGGCCCGAGCAAACCAAGGCGCAAGCCAGGCCGGCAGCCCTCGCAGATTGCATTTGGTGCAGAGAATCCCCCACCACCAGGACTCGCTTGTTGGCGAGGGTCTGCAAGTCTCCCACCGAATCGAATTGCTGACTTAGGCCAAGTGGGTGCAGTTCGGAGGTGGTACAGAGCAGAAGCACTGTCTTGCCGGCAGCTTTCAACTCCTGCAAGCAATCTGCAGCCCAGGGGAACACCCGCTCGTCTTTGTGAATCGTCCCCTCCCCAGCCACAACAAAAGTGTCGAAGGAAGAGACGATTTCTTGCATACCTCCTCCCAGCCAGCATGGAAGATGCCCTTCTTGTTTGGCATGCATTGCCACACATCCCTGATATCGCCGTTGTCTTTGCAGTTTTCGAGCCATCGCTCGTCTTGCCCATGCCGCGCAGACAAAGCTCAGTGTCCCAAAGGCCACGCGGCGATCGGGCCGCGGCACAGGTCGCAACACATCTGGTCGATGCCGCGGATGTGCGGAAAGCTGGCCCGGCCCAAATGGCAGCCGGAAAGCTAGCGGCGCAGTCATGTTCTATGCTACTCGAAGTGCGCGGGGAGCTGGTCTTCGATGTGATTGTGTCTTTCAAGAATTGTTTGAGGCTTCAGGCCATGTTGAACAATCACATGGCTGTGTGGCGTGCAGAATTGCTAGCGTCATGTCAGTGCAAAGCAATGTCCAATGTGTCGCTTTGTATCCAATACTTTATATAATTGCTTTGTATCGAATCAGAACAGGTCACATTGGCTGCAGTCTGCAACAGTTGAATCACACTCAACACTGTGCACATGCAGGCTTATCAGTTGCTGATTGAGCCTGCAGCGTTCATGCGCTGCAAATAAATCTGTGAGTAGATGCGTGTTGGCAACATGTACAGGCACTCGGATCTAAGAAACCGTGACCATGACCAACATGAGCACATTGATGGCTTCAGGAGTTCTGTGTTGAGGAGGCTTCTGCAGACTGCTGACGCCCTGCAGGCTTCACGACTGTATTCAGTGTGTTCTGCGCCCAGCTGCAAACTAGTTTGGCAATTTGGTCGTTGACTCCTTGCAAAAAGTCAGACTTGTTGCTCCTTCCATGCTGCTCAGTTGTCCTAAACGTTTTGCTTGAAGGGGAATTGTCATTTTCTTCCTACCAGACTACCAGCTATCGCACTATCCAACCAATCCCGCCAACCAACCAACCGACCGACCACCCCACCCACCAGGGAAAACCCCTGCTTCAAGGGGAAAAACCTTGGGCCAGATGTCTCAACGCAATAAAAAAGAACACTGGATGGTGCCGGGACTCATCCCGAAGCTGCAAAACAAGCAGCGACAAGGCCAAGCCCTGAAGCTCTGATCTGACGGATATCAACCGCGCCAAGGCCCAGACTTCACCCTGGGCTTTGACCAGAGATTCGAAGCGCCGACGAAGCCAGCAGGTGTCTTCTCTGAAGGATGGGCTGACTCCTGTGAACCGCAGACAAGGAAAACCTGTTGCAGCTGCCTCAGATTTGGTATTGAGACGCAAACGCCGCCACTCCAAACAAGCACATCCTACAATAGACACAAAGATGCGTTCGAGAGTGACGCAAATGGCCAAAGGCATCCCGCTCCTTCCCAGCCAGGACCGCAGGGCACCAACTCCACGCGAGGAACGAACACCGGCACCTGCAAGCAGAAGAGCGGGACTCCGCGCGGGTCATGTCGGACTGAATCTCTGGAGGTCAAAATTGAAGGACAAAATTGGAGGCCCGTTTTTGGAAGGGACCCCCCGGTTTTGGGAGGGACCCCCCGGTTTTGGGAGGAACCCCCCGGTTTTGGGGAGGGACCCAGGACCGACCCGGGACCGACCCGCGCCCCGGCAGAACCATCCGTCCGCCTGGTGACAGCGCCGGAGCTTCGCCAGGCCGAAGCGCGGGAGGCCGAGCCACTCCGCGAAGCTGGCCTCGATCGAGCCATCGTCGAGTCTTCGCCTGTCCTTTGGTCCTTTGCTTAAAGGCCCTGGTCGTCTTCGTGAATTTGGCTTGAGGGAAATCTGAAGCAATCCTCGTGGCCTTTTTTCGCGGCTCGGAATCCTTGTGGTTGCTCAAAGCCTCGAAAAGGCTCTTGACCATCCCTACCAAGCCCAACTCGGCATCTCCTGAAGCAGCAGCTCGACATGTTTTACAGCCAATCCTGCAAGCGCCAGTGTCGCCGGACCGTGTGGGGCTCAAATTTCCGCACAATCCGGTCACAGCACCAGCTGCGGGCGGTTGCTCATTTGATCTGAGGCCTGCACGCCCAGAATCACATGTCCTGGTGGAACCAGCGCCTGGCAAAATGCACGCGAGAAGACAACCGCAGCGCGGGACACTGGGGCAGTGGTATTTCTCCATTTTGTTAGACTCGCCTTCGAAGGTAAAAACAAAAAAATGGTCCACGCGAGTCTCCAGCCCTCAGAACAATGTGGTTGTCCCCAGCCTTGGTGTCCACCGTCAGCCGCAGAAGCTGCGTTTCGGGTTGGTCAGTCGGCCTGCATCACAAACCGATACCCAACAATATGACTACGAGAGATGCCCAAAACTAACAATCAATGCTAGAAAGTGTTCATGCTAGGCAAGGGGCGCATGGTCCACTTGCGCTGCAACTTTGCTAGCCAAACTAACAATCAATGCTAGAAAGTGTTCATGCTAGGCAAGGGCGCATGGTCCACTTGCGCTGCAACTTTGCTAGCCTCAGCTTTGTTTCCTTAGATCTGTCTCTCTCTTTTGAAATCAATTCTTACATTCAAGGTTCACCACCTCTGGAGACGTTCACGTAAAACCAGGGTGGGAAAATCAAGGCTCGTCCCGCATGTTCCCAAATTAAACAGAGACTACCAGCTTGGACTGATCTCCAATCAGCCCGCTGCCTCTCCAGGCATGGTGCATCAAGCCACATGAGGCAGCTCGACAAACCGCCAGCGATGGAGTCCAGGTCCTGCGTTCGCGCGAAATGCGGGGTGTGTCGATGGTTTTCTGGAGGGTGCCGCCGCTCGGGGTGCTTTCTGCCCTTGTTAAACTCTCAAGCTCCGAAGAAAAAATGACGGAAAACCTGAGGCTTTCTGCCAGATTTGTATAGGCCTTGCTATGGCCCCATGAAACCAGGCAGTAGTGGAAACTCTGAAATGGCCGTCACAGGGGTTTTGGGCACAGCTCAAGTGGAATTGGTTCATCATGCAGAAGTATTGTCCTCCTTACGAAGAAGGCCAAGAGGCATAGAAGCATCCTGAGAGCTTGCTGCTTCGGGGAAGAAGCACGACAGCAAGCAGTCAACACTGGGTCCATCCTTAGAGGACATCCTCAAAATGTTACCCTTTAAATTGTAGATTAGCGGGAAACTGCCCAAGGGCTTTTTTGAGAATGCTCCTTTTCATGGACCCAGTAGTATCGTTCAAGCTTCTCTCCTCGTCAAAGCCAAACACCCGCAGGTGAAATATCTCTTCTTCTTCGTCAGCTGACATGGACACCTTCGCCGCGCAGAAGTCAAGTTGACGATCAAAACCCGGTACTAAAGGAGTGAACCAATGATCATTACTACCCTCACTAAGCTTCACTTAGCCTTTAGCTCAAAGTTAGTTTGGGACTGCCCTCACTTCAAGAACTGGGGCAAGATCTGCCGTTTTGAAGCCCATGTCAGCTTGTACTAACCTTTTCACTTGGGTCTTGACTGCTCAAGCCTTGGTGCCCGGCCCCCTCTCGCTCTCGCTGGCGCGACTCAATGGCCAGCTCCTGGGCAATCCGTTTTCGCATGGCCCGAGAGAATCCGCCAACGAATCGTATCTTTTTGTTCGACCTTGGTTCAAAGGAAAGGCCAAACGCCAAGCTGGCATTGGGCAAGGTCCGAATCCCGATGTCGACATGATCTATGATGCATGGCAAAACTCCGCTCATTCTGTGTGTGTGTGTGTTTGAGCATGTGTGTGTGTGTGTCATGGTTCCCTTGATAGGAACCCTTTCCATGGTTGTCTAACATCCCGAAGGGGGTGATGACCATCCCTACCGACCCCAACCATTGCTTCATATGATTTGCAAGCCAGACGGAGGTCAGTGGCTCCGTATCCCGGCCAAGCATGAAGCATTCAGACCTCGGCATAAGCAGTTGCTCATATGAGTATGCACTGAAACAGGAGGACCCAAGAAAATGTGGGTGTGGCTCAAAAACAAAGACCCAGGGTTACGCAGGTTTAGTCTACTTTTCCACTTACCAGGGTTCCATTTTGGGCCCCTATTTTTAATCCACGTGTGGTTTCACAGATTCTGGACCATACTCCAACCCTGGCCCAGTTGCAGTTACAAAATCATGATGTCCTGCATATTACAACTCGATCTAGAAAAGAGGGGTACAGATTCATCCACCGCGGAAAACCACCATTTCGGAGACAAACCCACGCGGCAATGACCAAGTTGTGAAGTTGCATGGAAAGGCGCAGCTGATAGGACCCAAGACTCGATGCATGCTTTTGAGAATCTGCGACTTAGGATGCGGCGTGTTGGGGTCGGCTGGGTCGAGCTGCAGTTTGGCAACGAGCTGACCATGCACCTAGGCAGAGCTACTGCAGAGCATCTGTGAAAGTACATTTAGAATTTGGGTGACGAATTGGATCCCTCAATTTCGGCTACGGATCACACTCGGCACGTGCGGGCGATCTCTTCCAAGTGATTTATGGATTGCGTCGTAGCAATATGAGCCTGAGTGCCAACCCTGCGCAAGAGGTTCTAAGCAGAACGCCCACACGGGGAAGATCATGCCGGGCATCAACACGGAGACCTCTCCGCGCGAACAAAAATTCGCGCCTTGGGGGCGCGGCTCAAAACTCGGGGCCGCTTCGCCTGGGACAACAAGTTCTCCTCGATGAAGCCGGCCTGCAGCTCCACCACCTGCGAGCGATTCGGTAAAAAGGCTCAAGCGCCGTGGATTTGACAAGGCTGAGAGTTGCTGTGGGGGTTAGAGTTCCCACACCTTACTTCAGACTTGATTTGAGTTGACTCTTGGCGTGGGCCCGATATATATAGAGCCCTGCAAATTCAAAAACCCTCACGCTTCGAGATTGACGCACCAGCGCCTCCCAATCTTCAATTCGGTTCCTCGAGAGACAGCTGCTGTCAACTCATTTGTGAACTTTGATTGGGGATCCCTTGGTGAACACTTACGCGGGGATTAGTATATCAACCAACCATTTGTCCAGCATTCCCAGTTTCAAATGCATCGCCTTGCTGGGCACAGAATGCAACTCTGCAGCCGAAGATCGGCTGGACCATAACGCTGCTGGCAATGGGAGCGGCGTGCGCAACGGCCTCAACCTGCTCACCTTCTTTCAATCCTAAAGATTCAGCGAAGGGCTTGGATATCTCAAGGCACGCCTGACGGAGAGAGTGATCTCCCGCCCAGCCGACAAACACATCTCCTTGGTCGAACTGACCCCCTGCAAAAGGTGTTTCACTTTCTCCTGGTTGGTGGGGAAACAGTCATTGTCCAACTGGTTCAAAAGTTGAACCAACCAACCGACCGACCAGCGAACCTGCCAAAGACCAACAGACCACAGGCCAAACAAACCAACCAAATACAAAAAGGCTATTCCGGTCATAAGAGTTACCAAGTCTCCTTTGGCGCATTGCAAGCGCAAGCAGCGGCAGAAATGCCGCGCCGAGGTCTTGAAGAGTTCCCCAGCATCGCTACTGTGCAGGGCTACGTAGCAGCTGGCCCGCTCCGAGAACTGCACTAACAGCTTCATCGGGCATCACGGATTCGACGCCATGGCTCAGCCTCCATACTGTCCATTGTAGAGGTGGAGTTTCTTTGGATTGTCTAACTTCTGGTCTAGTGCCCACCACACGTTCCCAACTATCTATGATGGTGTTTGGTCTGTCGGTTGAAGCCAAGTGCGAGAACTGTGCAAGGTCTAGATGGCAAAGTTCATTGATTTCAGCTGCCTGCAGCACTCGCGTTGCACCAGATACCTCGACGAGCTGCCGCACATGCCGTCCCAGTGATGGAGCCACCTTTTTCTATACAAGGCAGTGGGCAAAGCTGGTCTTGCCGAAAAAGAAAATTTGCGAGGGCGACACGGCCGACACATGCTCATTTACAGGCAAGAGAGGTGTTCTGCCATCTGGCATAGTTGTTTGCCAATAGCAGCACCTGGCTTCCTCAGAAGCCCATCTCAGGGCAGCCCACCTGCGCCACAGGTGGCGTCTCTTGACTGGGAGCAGACATGACAAGCGCCGTCCTTCTGGATCGCTCCTTCTTTCACCAGCAGCTTCTTCAGGTCATGGTATTTCTGAACGGGAGACAAAAGCAAACAAACAAGACAGACTTCAAGACATTCTGGTCATCTCCCTACTTTCCTCATGTGCTTGACGACGCCTGCGGATATCTCTCGATCATGTCGTCATGGAACTGATGGTAGATCTGCAGCCATTGCTCATCTTCACTCGCTCTGCGACCATGCACGAAACCATTGAAGCGCTAGAATTCGTAGACTGCCAGCCCTCTTGCTCTGCGACCAATCCGCTCATATCCCACCAGCCTCCCCCTGGTGGAATGGAAACTCGTTCGAGTCGTAGACCTGCGGCACGTCAACATGACGGATGGGCTTCGAACGATACTTTGCAGCCTATTCCATGCACACTTCACTAAAATCCAGTCTGGGCGGTTTCTTGCATAGCAGCTACCCTCCTTCAATCATGCAAGTGGACGTGAGGCTTTTTTCAAGAGGACCTTACATTAGTCTTCCGAAATCCTCTGTCCGCTTCCATGTTGGAAAGAGGGTAATGCATGCCCAGCCAGCTTTACTGCAGCTCTACTGCAGCCAGGCCCAAACTTTCTTCGTGCCCACGGTGTCGGCATCGTTGCCCTGGCGGGAAGCGCCACAAATTCGCGAAGACTCTATCAGACATTCGCACTGGGTATGAACTTCAATTGGGACGCTTCGGTGGAGATTCATGTCCAACAACCACTTCTGAGGCTGTTCCCTATGACAACTCCTAGCCACCAATATCTGGAACTGAGGAGAACCCACAAATCAGCGAAATAAATTCATGATTGAGTTTTGCCAAACGGATCTGGCCCCCGAACAGTCGACATGTTTGCTGGCTAGAACTAGGGAACGTGAAGGAAACCCAACTGTGGCAATGTCAAAACTTGCGCCCTCATGTCCAGTCGCAGCTCGGTCTATGTTTTCAAGGGCACTCCCCGAAAACTCAAAATTTCGGTGGTTCCTTTTTGGCCTCCGTGAAAAAGAAAAAAAACGCTCCCAACGAGGGGCGCCGCATCGCGCGGTTGAGAGTCTCGCGCCTGGCCCCGCACCAGCTCGAGGCGCCCGGCGTTGGCAGCCTCGACGGCCTTGAAGGCGGGCCCGTCCATGCCGCCTGGGCTAAAACGTTCGAATCCGTTCCTCTAGGATCTTTGTTCAAAGAAAATCTGGGGGGGTCCTTTGTGGCTCCCCTAGGATCTTTGCTTTCTCAAAAAAAGGTTTTGGGGGGGGAGGGGGTGGGGGCCCTCTTTGTGGTGGTCGTGGGTGTGGCTCAAGAATGAGGGGTTTGGCTTTTTGGAGAAGGGGAGAGCAAAAGGATGGTCAGGGAAGGCGTTCCCTGCCATTTGAACAAAAACCGATACATGCCATGATCAACACTCTCAATCTGTGAGTCATGGTCATGATTGTCTTGGGGAGCTTTACATCGGCCAAAGTAGTAAAGTTGCATGGAAAGTGAAATCCGCGCTGACAAGACAGAACTCCAAGCATGGGAGCCTTTTCCTTGCGTCAGCCACATCCGTCTGATGTGGTGTCTTTGTCCGACGAGCCTTTGCTCGAAGGCATCGTTTTGAAGCGCTCTCATGTTTTCCTCTTCTTCTTCTTCTTCTTCTTCTTCTTCTTCTTCTTCTTCTTCTTCTTCTTCTTCTTCTTCTTCTTCTTTTTCGTGCCACATCTTGAGCCTCTGAACTTGCAAGCCTTCGCTCGCATCTCGGCATCAGCCTGCGTGGTGAGTTCCCGGACACTCACACCCTGCGCAGTGCGAGTTCCTGCTGGACGCCGCGTCAGTCCGCCAAATTCGGCTTCTCGCTTCGCGCCGCCCAGATGTCCTCAAAGTCCCTGCGGACGGCTTCCTCGGTGACTGTTGCCCCCAAAAAGCTTCTTTTTGATTGGTTGGCGGGGTTGGGAAAGCACACTTTCCAGAAGCTCCTTGAGCTTCAACAAGCTTACAAATGACAGCTTACAAATGACAGCTCAAGGCTTCAAGCTTACAAATGACATACAGCAGAGACATTCAAATTATCAAGGCTCTGCTTTTTGGAGCTCTTCGTGGGAGAGCAAGATCACCGCCACCGCGGCGCTCTTCACACCTTTCACCAGCTCACCCCAGAGAACGGCATCCAGCTCCTATTCGGCGAAATAGGAATTCGGACCACCAAAACAGCGGCTTTTCCTTTTTAGTTCCCCTTTAAACTAAGGTGAAAAGGACCTTTAAAACACCCTCCTCTTGACGTCCAGAAGTTGTTGATGCATGCCGAATCAGTTTTCTTTGCTCCGCTCCTCGGGGGGCTGCAAGACCTGAGCTTGTGTGGCTCCAAGCCACTTGCCCTCCAAAGCACCGGTGGCGCCAGCGGTCGCTACGACGTGAATCTGTTCCCTGAATCGCGTGATGGTCGTTTCCTCGAGCACTGCCTTCCTTCGACATTTTTCGTAGTGCTCGGACGCGCGGCGGGCATCCTCCTCGCCCTGCTTCCGGCGTTTCTGTCGCAGCGGCTCGGACTGGTCACTGCAAGAAGCTAGGCGAGTGTTGACCGCCGTCCAAATATCATTCCAAACCAGCCACTTCAGGTCGTCAGAAACTTCACGTGGCAGAAGTTTCAAGAGTGGCATGGTTCATGGCAAGAGCTGATCTGAAAAAAATAGTTGGAGCGAAAGAGTTGAAGGATCCTTGAGCTGTGCTAGTCTTTGAACAACAGGTCTGAGTCTGAGCCATCATGATAAACATTCTTGGGCCTGGTACTGCGAACACATGCCAAGCCATCCTTGAATGTGTGTGTGTATATATATATACCTATATATATATATACGCTCATAGTGGTGTTACATATGTATATACATACACAATAAACATATTGACATATACACATGGATGTGTGTGTATGCATACATGTGTATATATATATATATATATGCACAAATGTTTGTGTATGTATGTATGTATGTATGTATGTATGTATGTATGTATGTATGTATGTATGTATGTATGTATGTATGTGTATGTATGTGTATGTATGTGTATGTATGTATATGTATGTATATGTATGTATATGTATGTATATGTATATGTATGTATGTGTATGTATGTATATGTATGTATGTATATGCATGTATATGTATATGTATATGTATATGTATATGTATATGTATATGTATATGTATATGTATATGTATATGTATATGTATATGTATATGTATATGTATATGTATATGTATATGTGTATGTATGTATGTATGTATGTATGTATGTATGTATGCATGCATGCATGCATGCATGCATGTACGTATGTATGTAGGTAGGTAGGTAGGTAGGTAGGTATTTATGCATGCATGCATGCATGCATGCATGCATGCATGCAATGTACGTACGCACGTATGTGTATATATCTATATATGCATGGGTGGGTGGTTGGGTGGATGCATGGATGTGGATGTACACACATAGGTACGTAGGTACGCAGCTATGTAGGCACGTAGGTCGCATGTACATATGCATGGCATGTAACGTAACGTAATGCAATGTAATGTAACTCAATGTAATGTAGGTATGTGTGCATGTGTGTATTTGTGCATGTGTGTGTATGTGTGTGTGTAAGAGTATGTCTGTGTGTATGTATGTGTGTATGTGTTTATGTGTGTATGTGTATCTCTGTGTATGTACATATATATAATATGTATTAAAATAGACATTCTCCAAAGTAATAACTGCAAGCCGAGGACAGCACCTGGAATTCCAATGGCAGACCTGTACTCCGTGCCGCGGTCCTGCTGCGTCACGCATCGCAGTTGACATGTGAGCCATGCGTTTCTCCAAGAGGACGTAGGAACATCGGCAAGACTCCCATGTACCTCCCAAATTGACCATAGCTACCGGTGGTGTTGAACAAACCTGGGTCATGGTGGATAGTTTCTTTGATTGGAACCCTTATCACTGTCTAAGAAATGACCATCCCGTGCATGGACAAAATCCTGAACCAGTTGGATGGATGAAACCCTTTGAATTGTGGGACAAACCATCTACCAAGTGGCAGGATTTTGCTCCACAGTACCAACCCCAAAGTAGGATTCACGGCACATGTCAAGCAGCTTTCGGTTGGGCCTGGGGGTCAGCCCGCCCAAACGGATACTTCTCTGCCGCGTCGAAGTAGGCCTGAACAAAAATGACATGCATGTGTGTGTGTGTGTGTCTTCTTTGACATCTTTTTTCTCCGGTTAACACTTTGTTGAGTGGTTTTAAGGGAAATCATAAGCACAGCTAGCAGTTTGAGGGGTCCCTTATTTTGACGCCATCGCGGACTCCCGGCAGCTCGAAAGCCGCGCCTTCGCGAAGTCGCCCACCTTGTCCTCGGGCACGTTCACGTTCACCACCTGCGGGAGAAGGAGATCGAAACCCTCGGAGCCCTCGATAGCCCGAGGCACGAGATGGCCTCGGTGTGCCCAAGCTGTCCGTAGTCAGCAGCCATCGCCATGTTGTGGTAGCAGACCTCGCCCTTGCTGCCCACCTGATGAATTCGGTCTGCGCTGACAACATTCAATTCAACTCAATGTGTGCCTTTGGGCACACGAGCCAAATGATATGGCAGTTTGGAAGTGTAGCTTGATGAGTGAGACCCGTGTCATCCCCTTTGCTACAGTAGATAACGGTAAAGATTGACCTTTGCTCACAGCCACTCAGCTCAATGTGGCTGTGGCGACATGATGACCCCGCCTCCTTCCCACCGGCATAGCCCGCCAGAGCAGTGACTTCTGTCGGCTGTCGGGCAAGACCCGATGCCTGGCGCTAGCGCCGCTTCGCTTGCAGCTTTGCCAACTGCGTGTCTTAACATCTTAGAGTCGTCTGAAACGTCTGGCGCTTTCTCAAAATAAGGGACCCCTCCAGGTGGTCAGTGTCCTGTTGGCTTTCCTTAAATCCCACCCCAAAGGGGACCACTGTTTTGAGAAACACCCGAATGGCTTTCCCATGAAACAGCAGCTCAGCTCGGTCCATGCAGTTGAGATGCCCGTACCTGCACTGGGCAACTGGCGAGAGCGCCACTGAGAAAGGTGCCTCTTGCTTCACAATCTCGTGCTGCACATGCCAAAAGCAGCCCTGGCGACCAAGGCTTTCACCCAAACCACGGGGACAGGTGTTTAAATGGGATATGCAAGGCACTATCTTGCAGGGTCCTTTGAAATCAGTGGCTTGGGGGTGGGGTGGACCATCATCGCATACAAAAAAGCATGGATAAAAGCATCGTTCTCTGCAACAGGCAGCCATTCCACACTGATACTAGGTAAACAGAGAAATAAAAAGCGTCGCTCCAGCCGTCCAAAACGGGACGTGGCATCACCATCCGGCCTGGCCCATGTACATGTTCACACCGGACTGTGCCATGGCAGCCCGCGGAGAGGCCATGACTGCAAGGCCGGCCACAGTGGCCAACAAGGCACCTGCCAAGTCGTCACAAGGTTGATATGGGTATGGCTCGTCAAGATTAGGATTTGGACCCAGGTTGTTCACGTGGTTTCCTTTTGAAACCAACCCAGAAAGGGCAACCGAAACAAAGCCGCCCCTTCTTCAGAATTAGTTTCCCACGTTTGTGGTGTTTTTCCTGGACTCTGGTGGGTTTTGAGTCGGTTTCGGGCGGGTTTAGTTTCTCAAGGGTTCAGGCTCAGCTGCGATTTGTTTGGGCTAAGGGGATTTCGGGTGGGTTTGGAGCAGGGGTTTAAGGTTGGTTTACAAAGGGCTTAGTGCGGGCTTAAGGTGAAAATGTGCTTGCTCGCTTGCTTGCTTGGCTTGGCCTGGCCTTGGCCTTGGCTTGGCTCTGCTCCGCTACGCTTCGCTTGCTTGCTTGCTTGCTGGCTGGCTGGCCAGCTGGCTGGCTGGCTGGCTGGCTTGGCTGGCTTGGCTGGCTTGGCTGGCTTGGCTGGCTTTGCTCGCTTTGCTCGTTTTGCTCGTTTGCTTGCCGCGGGGTGCGAACAACATAGCAGCCCTCAAAAGACACGCACACACAAGGAACCCCCGCAAATCTCTGCATCTTTGGCATTTCAGTCGTCACTCAGGCGGGGCACGTGCCCACGGCTGCATCCTGGAGTTGTCGACATTCGCGTCAGCCAGCGCCGCGTCACCTGACGCCAAGTTCACCGGTAGACATCGTCAGCGAAGCAAAGGCACGACCTGAGCCTCGCAGCTGGGGGGCAGCTGGTGTGACACCAGTGCCGAAAGTGGCCTCACAGGTAACACCAACTTCAGCTCAGCTCACCAAGCACACAACATGCTTGCAAGGCAGGCGTGATGGCTAAGATGTGGGGGTTGAACAACATTCCTGTCCCACAAATGATTGTTGGTGGTTTCTCCTCATGGTCATCCCATGCAAAGGACCTTTTGACCAAGCCCCATGTACAGCTTCTCGCCGGAAATGCCGCTCGCTGGCGCGCCTTCACCTCCTCAGGGACCGCGGTGGGCGCGGGACCTGCTGTCCAGGCCTCAGCTCTGCGTGTTGCTTTTTTGTTCTCATTTTTCTGTTTTATGTTTTTTTTTTTTGGGGGGGGGTCCGTTTTTCCGAGGGAAGTTTTGTTCGGGGCTTGAAAGGGAAACCAAAAGCAGAACCATCAGATTGGAGGTCCCCGCATTTTGACACATACCTAAGTCAGGTCTTTGAAGCTTTGAATCTGAGACAACCGCAGATACTGGCGGAATGAGCAGCAGCACGGCTCCCTTCCACATCCACATCCTTCGAAGCGAACTGCGGGGTGCCACTCAAGCCCTTGAAAATAAAAACATGCCACTGTTGAAGCGGCCTTTTGTTTTCCCGTGGGCAAACAGGGCAACTGTTTTTTTTTTTTTGGCAACAAACCCCAAGCAAACGGTCACCGCAGTCCTTGAGAGGGCTTCAAAGGCTCAGAGATCAAAAGTTAGCTGAGCCGCATGCGAGCGAGTTTCGGGCAAGAGCCGCGCCGTCCCAAAGAAAAGCAACTTGACGTTTTTGGCGAATGCTGCGCCAGTGCGATTTCACTTGGAAAAAACAGCATCCACATTTTTGCAACCACACAGTCAGCTCAGAAGGTCGAGGATGGGTCACAATAAATGGAACATAAACTGACGTTCAAGCAGCGTTTTCAGCTGCTGCATGCTTAATTGCATGAACTAATTCCGCTTCACCGGCATCACTCCAGCTTGACTCAGGCTGGCTCTGCACGTGCGGCGCAGTGATGGGCTCGAATCGAATTGCCACGGGCTCGGTGGGAAGCGTGCCACTGAGTCGATCCTGGATAGGGCAACCCCCTGTATGAACATGTTCAAGCATCCTGTTGCTTGAACATTCACCTTTCAATTCCCTTTCAACAGGGCCCAGAAACATGTTTCCGCCCAACCTCCAGCCTCCTTTAGATTCCTTTTAACAGGAAGGACTTGTATTGTTTACAACAAACAAACAAAAAGTCTCCAAAAATAAAAAACTTCCCCCCGGCCCCCCCGTTTTCGACTGCCTGTGCCCGCAGAGCTTGCAGCGTCGCCCTCAGCGACTCCACGGACGGCAGCCGCTCCTCGCCGTCGCCGCTCGGGGCGCCGCCGCCGGCTGCGCCGCCGAAGCCCGCGAGCACCGCCTTCGCAGCGGTCGAGGCCTCCGCCACCACCTCCTTCCAATGGGCACCTGGCGAGGATCTCGATTTGGAGCGGAGGTGACCCGCAAAAAGGGAAGGGAGACCAAAAGGGAGTTGCAGAATACGCTGGCAGCGACCGGATCTCTGCCTCGTTCTTTTATTTCCTGTTTTTTTGTTTTTCGGAAAGGTTGGCTTGCAACATGTGCTCAACCAGACCTCTTTCTTCCCCTTTCCGGAACCAAAAGGAGGTTGTCTTAAACAAGAGCTGTTTTCACAAAGTTTCAACAAGCCCCCCCCAACATCGCTCCTGGGACTTGGTTTTCATCCCGGTCTCTGAAGGCTGACAGGATGTAGGCCTCTTCCATATCCTAAGCGCAAAAGAGAGATGGGGCGATGGCTTAAAGGAACCTTGAGACTCATCACATCAGCCACATCAATCTGGGATTTTGGTGAGTAACCCCCATGTCCGAATGGTATGTTTGTGTGTGTGTGTGCGTGTGCCCAACGTCATCCCTGACCCACAGATGACAGTAACTTGTGACGATTGCTCACATCATGGGCTCGCCTCGTTGGTCTCAGCCGTGGTGCCCTCGACATTTGCACATTCCGCCTTCTGCTCCTAGGCGCTGCTTCTCGATGGGATGCAGTTGCCAGGGTTGGTTAGAAAATATGTTTAAACCGACCGCAAAGGGAAACAAAAAAAGGAGCTTGCGTAAACGGTGGCTTAAACCCCAAGTTTTGAACAAGGGACTAAAGCGCCCAACCCTTGCGGCTGCAAGATTCCATCGCGCTACGACTCGCGCTCTCCGTGGTGGGCACATGCAGATCCACCACCGGCTTCGCCTCAAATTGCTTGGAAAGATCTGCATCTGCTACTGCAATCACCACGGGCTCGCTTTCCTGCAAACGACAAGGATTTCGACAGTCAGAACTCAAGAGAACAGCGCCATGTTCAAAGCCGCCTTCTGCGCAAAGCAAAGAGTTGGAAGTGACGTCCTTGAAGCTCTTCTCCACCTCTGCGTTGCCATTTCCCACGTTCACCTTCTGAGAAGGAGCCCCGCAAGCTCGGAATCCGCATAAAGCAGGAGACATTCTGGGAGCCACAACCTGAGACATGCCATCTACGTGGACATCGTTTCTCAAAATGAGAACATGGCGGACCCCACAAATGCTTGGCATCCTTTTGGTTTCCCTCAAAAACACCCAAAGGGGGTGCCCAAAACAAAGACATACCCGTTTATAGTCACAATGGTCACAATCAAATCACCGGCTGGTAGAAAGGGGCCTATGTCTATGTTTGGTTGGGATTGTCCCTTACTAACCTTCATTTACCCGGGTAGCTCGTTTAATTTGTGAGACGAGGCACCACCCGCTCCCGCTGTATAGGAGAGCTTGGCTGTGGTGGCATCTGCATAGAGGTTGCCCGGACAGGGCCCTGCAAACAAACGTCAAACATGGGTTGAAAACGGTTCTGCTGAGAAACATTAATGCTCAGGTCAAGCAAGCGGGGCCCAATCCTTGCTTGGAGACACAGATCTAGGAAGCTCCCATCTCGCGCATCCAAATGGGACAGACCTGCAGTCATCTGCGAACCGGAAACTTCGGGTCTCATCCAAACACATACTCAGCTCCCCTCTCATCGGTGTGGTGGTTGGTGGTTTGGAGGTTCAGGAAGGTTTCCCATTTACCGTACAAAAAACCAGGTACCCCACAAGAACCAGGCCAAACCACCAATCCAAATCACCAACTAAGGGTTACCTGCCCTACCACATTACATGCATGGCTCATCTTCTGGCTCATCTCACGCCGGGTTTCCGACATCTGCGGGGATGCAATCGACCTAAACGACACCCCCGGTGAGACTGCCGGCGAGAGTGCTGGTGATGCTGGATACGCTGGCATCGTCACAGATGCGGCAACCTTATGCAGCAAACAACAATATGTGGTGCTAAGATCACTCCAAAAGGGTACCCTCAACACAAAAAACACACACCACGTGCAAAGACGCTTCAACCTCAATCAAAATCCCAGGAGCTTGTCCCAGATCCCTTTCTGCATTTGCAGGGCCAGTTGTGCTGAGGAAATGAGTTCGGACAAATGCGGGGAAATCACGTCTCCAAAATGACGGGATGCAAAGAGAGATGTGAATCAACTCTTTGAGACGTCAAGAACAAAACACTATGCAGCCACGTAGCTGTCGTTTTTAAGGGCGATGCTGATCTTCCGCGAATCACCCGCGGCTGGGAAACCCAGCTTCTAGCCTCTGAGTCAGCCGGATTCTTGAAAGCTGACCTTGGTGTCAGTCAGGTTGGAAACTTGTAAGTGTCAGGACGTCATGTCGCGCACTGTGATTCTGGCCACAATCTTGCTCACTTCTCTGAGTTAAATAGTTCCATGGAGTAACAGCATCACCAGCATATGTGTGTGTGTGTGTTTGCGCATCGATTATGAAACTCTGACCGCTCCAAGCTTTCAGCAATGGCACGTGCTGCATCACCTCTCCCTCAAACCCAATATTGCCCAATGACCGCATGGTCTTTGGGGAAGGAGCAGTTCAGTGTGACGGGAAAGCGCGACTGCCAGAACACATGGGCCGAGCACGTGCCATTATCATCATCATCCTCACCCTCATCCTCATCACCATCCTCATCACCATCCTCATCACCATCACCATCACCATCACCATCATCATCATCATCATCATCATCATCATCATCATCATCATCATCATCATCATCATCATCATCATCATCATCCTCACCCTCATCCTCATCCCATCATCATCATCATCCTCGTCATCTACGGTGCTGCTGTAAGGAAGGTGACCTGGTCATACAAAGCAGACTGCCACTCGTATGGCTCAGACGTGAACTGGCCTCAAAATTTCAGAACTATGTCGCGTACATCGTCGCCTTGGTCCTTTGGCATACCCAAGGTCCAACACCATCCCCACTAACCACAAGAGTCTCTCCACATCCAGCGTCATTGTGGAGCGCAACAAAGGCCTTGAGCAAATTAGATCGCCCAATTTGCTCACAGCGCCTTCACCTTCAGTTGTCAGGAAAAAAACACGATGTCAGATTATGATGTCTTCTATATAGGCATAAATCCTGCATGTGCATCCCAAGCAAGCACGGCAAACATTCGGCAAGACTCGCAAGTGTGCCAGCGGTCTAGCATGACAGTGCAATAGTGTACATGAGTTTGTATCAGAATGAGGACCAACGAACTGACCTTGGTTGCTTCTTGCCTTCTTACCCAAATGGGGTTCACAAAAAACAAGACACAAACACACCGCATTGAAACTGCAGTTGTCTTAGTCCGCTGCTCGCTCTGCACCACCCGTGTCACTGGCTGGAGAGCACCCAGTTGGACGCTCGCGAGCTTGGTGCGTGTGGCAGAACGTCCGCCTTGCACGGTAAACCTTGGATGCGCTAAGGTTACGCGTCGAATCCTAGCCGGCTCCATAGCATGCTGAGAGGTGCCTCCAAGAAGCGGTTGGCAACTTCCGACAAAGCACGGCGCTCCAACTGTTGCGCTCTGTGACACAGTTGCCGAAGCCGCGGTGTCAGCAGATCCTGAATAGAGAGACAGAGCAAAAGAAACAAGGCACAAACAATGTGCTCGAAGCCATAAGAAAAATGAACAAAACCTGAATTTGTCCATCCCTTTGCACCGATGGATTGAGCAGTGCTTAGGCAACTGCCCGATCGAGATCGGCAAGCGCTTGGAGTCCGACTCCTTATCGCCACGGTGCTTCAGCCAAACACGCAGCTTGCACAGTGTGCAGCATCTCGGCATCTTAGGTCACACTTATTAGAACCCATTCAGCGATTCACCCAATGCATGAAGTTAGCACCGAGAATGCAGGACTGGGCAAAGCAAGAGCTGAAGCCAACAGCGCCAGCCCCAAAAAGAGAAAAGCCAAGCTGAGAAGGTTCTCTCTTTGCGCTCCAAGTGGCATTCTCTCAAACTGGTAAGGCATCTTCTGCACCTGCGAGTCGTTCAAAAACAGCGCGACTCCCCGTGGCTATTCCGACAGCTTCAGATCCAACGGCCCCCAAAAACGGCCGCCCCGTCTCTTTTCCCGGCGGGTTCCCTTCGCGGTCGGCGCGGGGTGAAACTGGGGGACTGTCAAACTGTCCGAGAGCTTCCGTAGGACCTGGCGGAACAAGCAGCCACAAGAGAAGCGAGGACGCTGCATGCTGCTGGTTGATTTTGCTGCAACATCTGCGCACCCAAGCACTTGGAAGTGCGTCGATTCTTGTCAATCAACGTATCAAACAGCCAAACGAAGCCGTAAGGCCATTTTGCGTGCCAGAGCCCTTCGGGGTGTTGCAGCCAAGATTCGTTCCGTATGTGAACCTTAGACAACAGTGCTCAGCATCAAAATCCGAGTTTGCCGCAACTCAACGGTTTCAACGTCGATGGCCGTTCCGCTGCTTGTTCTCAGGCTGTATCTGGGTGTGTCCTAAAAGAAACCCCAAAAAAGGGATACCCTCAAAAAAACAACAGACCCATCGAAGGGTTATCAACTACACGCTGCACTTGCCTTGTCCTTCACACAAACAACTGAAATGAGCCGAGCATCTGTGGCACCCCAATCTTCACAGGGTCTTTTGCCGTGTACGGGCGCTTCCTTGTCACGCAATGTCTTCAAGGCACTGGCAGCAACCCCTGCCACAATAAACTCATAGGGGTGTGCCCTTAAATTTGGGACCCACATTACTTGGCGAAACGCCGCTTTTAGGTCGCGCATGCATGTACTGCCTGGACCTTGTCTTCCTTCCTCGTCCACCTTTCCAAGGACAGTCACAAGCTTGCAGCCAGGCCACCACTTTTCCATTCGATCTGCGCACCTTTCCAAACACATGCGACACGCGCGTCGCGTCAGCCAGTCGGTGCATTCAGGGCACGATGCGCAAGTCTCCTTCACGGGATAACAGCAGGAGCGCAGAAGACTCAAGAAGAAGGACCTCAGCTGCCACACCAAGCATCACCCCAGGAAGCTCACCAAATAGCACTATGGAAAGAACATGTTATGCTTGAAACCATGGTGTAACATGGAACCCCCCGAATTTTCACCATGTGCAAAAGGAACTAAATAGTGGGAACCAAAATGTTATGCTTAAAACCATGGAACCCCGCAAAACAAATAAAATCAAAATGCACAGAAACTGTTGGGTAGGGAAAGAAATCATGCTGGAGCCCTGCCACATGGACTTCTCCACATGGTTCCAGACCGAGCTGAGCTGCCAATATTCAGGTGTCCCCAATAAGTGGGACTTCCTCAAAAAGTTTCTTTGGGGTTCCCTTTACACACCATCCAAATACCTTGAACAACTCTCAAGTGACATGTCTGTGTGTGTGCTAGTGCTCTTGGATCTGGTACCCTGTTCGGGGTTTTTACAGTGACACCAAAAGGAAAGCCGAAGCCGGTTTTGGGTATCCCTATTTTGACACATATGCAAACGGGAATTCGGTAGCCCCAATTTCATCACTTTGGGTTTGTGTACCATGTCATCCCCACTGCTCAGGCTGGGCTCATGGCCCAATGGTCGCCATGCCGCGAGCAAGCACCGCCTTATGTCGACGGTGCAAGCAACTTGTGCCCGAACGCGGGGTTGTCTTCAGAGGCCAAGCCAATTGAGGGGTCGTCCCTTTCCCTGTAGACTCTCAAAGGTACCCTCAAACACAAGAAGAGCCCCACGGTGCTCCAGCTGTACGCCATGCGTAAGCTCCCTGAGGAACGTGCCACAACATCCAGGAAGCCGTAAAACACCACCTTCCACGTGGATTCCTTCGTCAGACTGGGATTCTCATTCTGGTGTCACCGTCTCAAGCAAACCCTTGCCTGGACATCCTCCTTCTCGCCTGGGCTCCGCTTGCTCTGTGTACAAAGCCCCCGAAACTGGCCTCATTATTTTACCATGATCAAAGTCACCCCCTAAGTGGTGGGTTCAAGGGAAACAGCCCACATTTTCTGACTTTGACAACCCCCGGAAACAGTGAAAATAACGACCCCAGCAAAATGTCCGGCAAACTGGACGAGCCTTTGCCCTCTTCTGGATCAGGCGATGACATGGCTTCTGCTCATCCTTGCCCTACAAGTATCTATTCCTTCGTGTTCATAGGTTTACAGTAAGGTGGACCAATTACAGCTTACAGCCTGTTTAAAAAGAACTCACTGAGAACAAGCGCTTCGCACCAGTTTGTCTTCCGAGCTTGGCCAAAGAAGACATGTTTATGAGGTTCGGTTTCGCAGCACTACCTTGAGCCAGCATACAAGGCGGCAGATATGCCGGCGGCTGTTCTTTGCTCTGCCGGGGCGTTCTATGCCTGGTCTGCCTTCTGGGAGTGCTTCTGGTGCACACGGAAACCAGCAAATTCGGGCCGTTTCACAGGGAGCAGGGTACTGTTTTGATTCCAGCACCTCACAAGCCTTACACCGAGTGTTCTCATACCTTGTAGACCTGTTTGATGTTGGAGCACCTAGTATCAACTGATGGAATTCATGTTCAACCGACTTGGTGACCCCAAACACCAAATAGGTGGATGTGCTGAACGCGACCCCGACTGGAGACAGCATCGGCCTGCGGCAGCTGCAGCCAACCAGGCGTCAAGTTTCGCTGGCACCTCACAACAGGCCAGCGCCAGCTCCGGTCTTTCCAATGGAAGAGGTGGAAGAGGGTCTTTAGAGGTTCCCCAAAAGGAAAAGCATGGAAGTGGGGCTTCACCAAAAAAAAAGATTTCTTCCAGAATCCGATCAGCTTCCATGGGAGGGAATCCATCAACACCCCTTCTTGGGCTGCGGCGGACCAGAGTCCCAGACTTCACGTGTGCTCGGCTTTGCCTGGCATTGAAGACGCTTAGCCATACTCTTGCCTGGCAAAACGAGGAAATGGACCTCGGGCCTGGTTGGTGTCCTTTTGGCTTCCCGCCAAAACAACCAAAGGGGGCTCCACCCAAAAAAGCGACACCCATTTGAGTCAAAATCAAACCCTGATAGTAACGTGGTCTACCCAAAACGTTCCCAGAACCATGCAAAAGAACCAACAGCTTCTTGCCGCACCTGTTGCGGTGGCTGATTACGGCTCACTCGCACTCCCCAGGTTGTTGATGTTTTCGCTTTCCAGCACAAGGATTCCGTCGCATGAGCAGCAGAACTCACTCGCGCCTGAGCCACATTTGCCCGCACGGCGCCGGAGGGTCCCAGACTTCCGCTGGGAACTGCGCAAAGAATTGCCTGTGCGGGAACAGCCCTTGTGCCTTTCTCATCAAAACTGGCTTGGTTTGATCAAAGGAAGCTCAGCGGTGTCCATCGAGCACTCTCCTTTGCTTTTAACCCGCGGCAGGCTCTCAGGCCATCTTTGAGTCGACGCATGCCGCAAGCGTCAGAGGACAGAGGCTCGGCCGGAGTGGGAGACCTCCTGCATTGGGAAGCAGTTGGGTGTGTCTTTTTGTAGGGGACACACCAAAATGGTTGTGATCCTTTTGGCTTCGATTTAAAGCAACCAAAAGAGGTACCCTCAAAAGAAGACACGCTCATATGATCTGCAGAAGGTGCACACTTGCACACAACACTTGCGACTTGCGCCCTGAACTTCCGCTAAGCGGCCACGCGAGCGTTTCCTCGGCTGGCAACATCTCTAAGGGAGTCCTTCAGGGTGAGCATAGTTTTGTTGGAACGGGCAACCTTGGGTTCACTTTGAAGGGAAACCCGAAGGAGGCTTAGACCATGGCGTCCAAACCAGGGTGTGGCCAAGTGGCGACATTGGCTGCTGATGTCATACGGTCTCAGCTGACCTGAAATGTCAAGCGCTTGCCACGCCTTCTTTTTCGTGACAGCCACCCTTTGTCCAACATGGAAATGGAGGGGCCGTTTTCAGATGGCGGGCTTCATCTTCCAAACCCCTTGTCCACTTGCATCCTTGATGGAAAGTGGGTACCTCCAAACTCGAAGATGGCACCAGGAGGCGGACCGAGCATCTCGGCGGAAAGCCCCGCCCTGTCAGAGAGGTGCAGAATCCTAAGCACATGACGAGTTTGGAGTTACTGCGAGCCAATGTGCGCATGGGTCAAAATTCAACCACCAGGGACCGCAGGTTTTAGTCCCTGTTTCCATTAACCCCGGTTCCACTTTGAGTACATATTTTTGACCCACAGCAATGTCAAAAAAGTCTCTCGCGATTGGGTAGTCATCACCATGCATTGGGCGGCACAGGTCACGCGCCGAAGGTTTCCACCACTCCCAAACCACCCCGAAGGGAAATCGAGTATGCGTCCTTTCTACAGCGGCTTTGACGCGTGGCTTGGGGGCAGTTGAAACTATGACCCTTTGTTCCACATCCGCCACGGGGGTCGGAAAATGGAAGGGTCCTCAATCATCTTGGACCATGCCAAGTTGGTCCTTCCTTTCAAAATTGAGGCCCCTGAAAGGACCCCAAGATCACTTTTGGTGCATGACTTTTACCGCACCTTGGCGGACATCATGGCGGGCTGCAAATCGAGTCCGTATTGGGCCGCCGGCTTCGCAGCTTCATCAAGCTCTCCACTTCGCGCATCCACGTTCCTGAAGCCGAGTGCCAAGTCGGGGGTCTCCGATTTTCGGTGTGGGTGTCCGAGAAACCCAAACGGTTTAGAGGATTCCCCTGATAGATAGACAGACCAAAATGCTGGCAAGTTGTGCTTGTTTGGTTGGAGTTGGCAGCCTGTTCAGGTTGATTTTAGGGGAAACCAAAAGCAAAGCCACCAGTGTGGAGTGTCCAAAACCCCTAGTATGACTTCCTTTCAGGGACCGACATCAAAATTCGGTGGGTTCCGATTCATGTCCACCAACCACTTAGGTGGTTCCAACTCCAAGTCATAGCCACATAGGCGTGTCTTTTTGCAAATGTACCCTTTTTGGGCTTGGTTTTCTTATCGGGAAACCAACCGGTTTTTGGAAATGAACGAGAATTGGATTCCCCTAAAGGACACCATAAGACATGTTTGTTTTTTCTTGGGGGGCATTCCAATGCTCATTATCTGCCGATCGAACCAGCAGTCGTCATCCCCGTTAAATTGCAGGCAAAGGGCCAGGTGCTGTTCAGCGCATCGAACTTGGCGTGCAAGCCCAGGTTCAGCAGCAGGCGATCCTCGAGGCGCCAAACAAACCCCACAGCTGCGGGTTTATGCGGACCCAAAGGAAACAAAGGTTCACCTATGCTTGTGGTTTCTCAAAAGAGGTGCTCACCATTCTCATAGAGGTCACAAGCTCGACCACTTCTTGGATCCGTTCAAAACAGAAACGGCCGCCCCCGGTTTACCCGAAAACCCCAAGCTGGCAAAGCACCAAAGTAGGATCCCAGCCAGAGTCTTGTGGTCCTGCACGATCCCCGCCAGCGCCTTTCAGGAGATTTTGTCAGCTGAATGCAGTGCACCGATGCCAGCCAGCCTCCAGTTCAGTTTCCAGCTTTCTATGCCTCAGCTCGGGATGCAAGTTAGACCTGGGATGGGAAGCCCTCTACCGGTGCAAGGGTGTACCAGAGATACTGAATTAGATGCAGGAATTAAACCAAGTCCACTGCCTCCACTGCGGCAGGTCAACCAGCAGCCTCGGATTTCCCGTCATTCCGGGTCTTGGAGCGCATGACGCGGCCAAGTGAAGGACACCGCGGTCTTGAAGTGTTGAGCGCCGTGTGGTGGCAGGAAACTTTGTGCCTTGCGCACTTGGTGAGTCGATGCACGGCGAATATGAGCTCGTGGCCAAACTCGGATGGGAAATCTAGGCTCGCCCCCGCTTTTTGCGGCCAAATCTAGGGAGCTCCCCCATCTCCCTCAAATGGTCAATAGACGACCGCAAATGTAGACCGCACCGAAAGGTGAATATACAGAAATAGATTTGTCCATATGTACATGAATATAGATATATATATATATATGCATACACATACAATGCCCTCCTAAGAGCAGGCCTCAGAGAATGTGGCCGTCGCTTCCTTCAAGAAGGTAATCTCATCCTCAAAGCCTCAAGCATCTGGCTGTCACTCAAAGGAACGGTCCAATTCCTAAAATGGCTTTTGGCTGCCTGTTCCCTTTCGACTAATGGGGATCGACCATTTGGGTGCGACGTTCTGCTGAGGGTACCCTTTCTGGATGGCTTCAACAAGAACCAAAGGGGAACCACCTCTTCTGGGGTTCCATATCCTATTTTGAGGTCAAAGCATTTTGAGAAGGGACATCGAGAACTCGCGCCTGTGGGATCCACCACAGCCGCCACGGCATTTCGCATCTTCATCTCGAACAAGGGGCTGACGTCTGCCAGCACCTAACGGACAAAGTTAACGAAGGTTTCCCCAGGGCCAGAGATGGTAGGGGCCCTTTTCTCCCGCAAAGGCGGCACCGATGTGCAAGCTGCGGGCAAGCTTGGGAAAATAGGGCTGGTTTTGAAGGGACATTTGGGTACGTCCCGCCGTCTCGTCAACCCCAAACTAACAGCAGACTGCCCAAAATGTGGTCTGTTGGTGCTATGAGCCGCAGCCAATATTCATCGTGTCCAGCAATGACACGGGGGTTGATGAGCAACCAAGCGTTTCCTATATGGCTACGGGTCAAAACCCTGTACCCCCAGTGAACATCCCAATCCAACCACTAAAATAGGTTCTAAAATGGGTGTTGACCGGCCGTATGGTCAGTGATCTCGGGACTGCAAGCGAGCTCGAGCTCGCGGCCAGCGTTTGACTGTCCAGCCACAAGGCCCTGGAAGCTGCATCAGGCAAGTACCTGAGTGCCATGCGGATTCTCCTTGGTGTCCCCGAACGAATGCGTGAATCTTTACATGCTCAAAACTCCCCCAAAATGTAGGCCGTGGCCATGGTTCCATCAAGAAGAATCGGGATGAGCGGAGACAATGATAGAGACAAGAGCGAAGAGAAGAGCGGAGCGAAGAGTTGGGAGACGTGCGGCGGGAAAAGCGAAATTCCGAGGTGCCTGCAAAGGAGAAGTCATCTTTCGAAGCCCAATTGTTTTGGACCGCAGTCAGCAAAAATGATATGCAGAGTTGTGGGATTCACCGGCCAAATTCCTTGCCAAAGCAAGAAAAAAACGCCAGCTCAGCGAGCAAGCTAGCTTTCGTGATCACGGTTCTCTGAACTCCGAAGTCCATAACCAGCCCCGCGAAAGAGTACAAGGGTCTTTTGATTGCACAAAACGCGCTGGCCCATATGACGGGTCCAAATACGACGCGCAGAGCACTTGTGCAGGTAGATGCGACTTATTTGCAGCTCCGCCTTCCTCCAACGCGCCTCCCCTACGGCTCATAACTGTGCCACATGGGTGTGTCGTTTTGCGATTCTGCACCCTCTTGTGCTTTTAAAGGAAAACCAAAAGGAACACTGAAGCCATTTTGGGGCCCCCTAAAAGACGCCAGCCACATGAAAGCGCGGGATGTCCTGAGAGCATCCTCTAGGCTTTGGCTTTCTCGTCTGATTCTGCTGGCATACCTTGCACACAAAACTTCAAGGGCGTGGATATGTTTTTGTTTTGTTTTTGGGGGGGGAAGAATATGGTGGACAGCATTTCGCCGGGGATGTATGTCCGTCAACTTCAATTCACAGCCACACTCCGCCAGAAAACTCTCGCATCCAAGCGGCTCAAGCATGACTTGTGGCATCTTGTGGAGGTTGTGCAGTTGCACTCTCGGTGGCGCAACCTGGAAAGCATGAGCAGCGGGAACCCGAAACCCACTAGCTTATGGCCACAAAGGTTTATAAGGTGGTGAACTTTAGCTGCAGACCTTTGGCGGACAGCATTTAGGTGGGGATTCATGTCCGCCAACCACTTGGGAGGGTCTTCATCATTGAAATAAGAGACGTAGCGGCCTTACTGTATGCCTTGCCAAACCAGGAAGGAACAGCACCACCAACTAACATGGCCGCTGGGAATCAGTTTTGTGCGCTCACGTGGTCCAAATCCCTGCCTCGCTTCCCCAGGAATTGAAGAAGCATGAAACCATCTCCTGACTGCGGCACTCTACCACTCAGTGCGACTAGCTGTGGGTCAAAAATCGGTACCCAAAATTGAATCCTGGTCAATGGAACCAAGGACTAAAGCCTGCGGTCGCATAGGTGGTTCAATTTTGACACATACCCACTTCTCACACGTGCAAGATAACATGGTTTTCCGTGAGTCCCCACTCCCTGCTCCCGACGTTCTAGCGGTAAGTTGGTGAGTGCTCTGCATGTCATCCCCGTTTGACACAGTGGCTGATGCTTGATGTGTTTACCGTTGCTCATCCGCCCCTCTCCGTCCTTCTCAACAACATCAGCATCAGACCTCCCAAAGAGCGCATTCAAGGAGCGTGCAACCGGACCCTAGTATGACTCTTGGACAATCTCAGCCGTGGACGGGCGCACAATCAAGTGGATGGTGCACCGGCTTGGCTGCTTGAGATGTCGACCTTCGGAACAAAATATGCGCATCGCGACAAAAATCGATCCAAAGGCCAGCACTCAGCGACACCATGCTGGTCAGCACATTTGCCATAGCTCCACTATCCACGGAGTACACCACGTGCATGGTGTGGTCATCCTGGCAAATCACATCAGTTGTGCACGAGTGCTTGTTGCGCGCACTCTGGAGATGGGTTCCTTCACATCTTTTCTCATCAGCGACCACTGAGGGAACCTCGGCACAGCGTACATCCAAAAAAGCGCCTCTTCTGATGAGGTTTGGACCTGCCCGTCGCCATGTAGTATTGGTGTGCCACCTGCTTTGGCAAGAGCGTGAAATCACAGCGCAAGAATCGCACTCGCACACTTTTCCCCCTGAGAAAGGCGGCAACAAACCCTCTTCCTGGAATCAATGAGAAATGCGCGAGCGCGATCGATTTCGGCAATCCAGACCACGAGTCTCGACCTAGGAAACTCCTCGTATGAATTTAAAGCGGGAAAAAAAAAAGGGCCAGGAGAGGTACACCCAAATGTTTTGATTTGTTTTCAAAAGCCGAAGTGTGGTTGGCGCCTGCTCACTGGTGCTTCGCGAGGCAGAGGCGCCATGGTCCGTCTTGACTGACAGCCTCGGTCGCGGGTTTGTCTAGTGGAAACCAAAAAGCAGGCGGCTTTATGTTGGTTTCCCCTTGAACCATCCAAGGAATGACACCCTCCAAAAGAACACACCCTTCTTGGTGACTTGTCGAGTGTAAAATGGGACGCGGCAAACGGCTAGGTCACCGGCTCAAGAGCAGACGGTTTTACAGCCGCGGCTACCATTCCAAGCCTAGGGCAGCGCTCGCACATCGAAACTCATCCCGAATGGCAGACTTCATGTAAGCCCCGCGGTGCAAGAGTTCCAAGTTGCACCCACTAAGGCAGCAGCAGAATTATATGGAATCCCATCCTTCAAGCAAGCAGCCTCTCTAATCGTGCCATGCTCAAAACTCCTGCTCCTATCGTGGCCGAAATTCCTTATCCATCGCCATCCCCAACTGCCCTCCAAAGGTGTGTCGAACCGGCGGAGTCCTTGCCATGGCCAAGTCGCATGGCTGGAGGATGGCCCGAGGCCTGGCTTGCCTCAAGCATTCCACCGATCTGAGCAAACCCACATTGCCCCAAAAGTGAGACGGATTGATTCTCCAGGGCGTAGCCCATCAAAAGCTTCCGGGTTTGGATTTCGTTCGTTCGACAGCTTCAGAAATCCTCATGGCCAACTCACCTTCAAACTATCGTAGCTGAGGCACAGAACTGAAGGCGTTGCGCCGGCATTTGAGCCAATGGCAAATGGCCCGGATTTCATCACAAGAGGAGCCACAGTCAAAATCACTTGCTCCCTGAAGAAGACATGAACAAATTAAGGCTCTGTCCCCAGGAATTTGTGGGGAAACCTTGTGAGCCGCCCATGTCCAGAACCACAAATGGACCATAGGCTACGGGCAATTTTGACCGTAGCTCATCTGATTTGACGCACTTCTAAGTGCAATGCAAGCAGTGGCAAGACAGCAATGCGAGGTGCCTGGCCATTCATCTTCATGGCCTCTCGGAACCCACAAATGGGCGTTGGGACATCATTTAGGTGGGGATTCATGTCCACCAGCCACGTTGCAATTGGTTCCCCATGAAAATTAATAGCCACGTACAAAAATGCAGTCAGGTGGGCGAAATGGTACGCGAACTGGCGAGCACACAATCTTTGTGTCGGGTGGCTGGGAGCAAACAAACCCGTGGCACCTGCGTCGACATGTCAAATGGATTGTGTCCTGCACAGGAAAGCTGAAGCGCACGTATACCCCAGGCAGGTGACTGCCACTGCCAAGCTCCTGGAATGTTGGGCGAGGTGAAAGGCCAACCAGGGCTTGCCTGGCAAGAAATATCCCATCTGGATCTTGCTTGCACAGCCCTGTTAAGGCAGCCTGCGGCTCGATCTGGGGAGCCGCAAAGTTGGCAACAGGGCCTGCAGAACCAGCATCTGCTCTGCGGACAAGTGTGCGGCTGTAAGTGAGGAAACGAAAAGCAGGAAGCTGTTCCAAACTCCCTCTCCCCATGAGGGAAAGCACCCGGCAGCTGTCCGTTGCTTTCAAAGATATGCAGAAAAGCATCCGCGCCTTCTTTAGGAGGGCTGCGGTTTCGCGCTCCCAGGCCGTGTCTCGACGGGGAGAAGCCCCTCAGGGAGCCAAAAGCAAGGCTCCACTGATCCAGGCGAAGCAATCGGGAGCCTTTGATCCATTAGATGGCTTCCCCGTCTACCCCCAAATCACCGGTTCGGAAAAAGCTAACTTGAGAAAGGACACACGAAAGTAGCAAGCGCCCACGTCGACATCGCCACATAGGTGGCCAATGGGAGCCAAGCTCGAAGTTTCCAATTCACTCAAAATGTTCATTAGGGACCCTCGGGTGGACATCATTTGAATGACATCAACCACGTTCGAGGGGGTTCCCTCATGAAAATAGGAGGCTGTCACAGTATCGCTTTGTTTTTCATGGGGCTCGCCGCGCACTCCTAAGCTGGCCAACGCAAGACTCCTAGGCTCGCCAAGGCTACCTTTCGTGATTGCACCTCTAGGTTTCGAAGCAGAAGACATCTCGGGTTCAAGCAAACCAACGCCCAGCCGATCCAAGGCCTGCTCCACCTGCCACTGAAACTCTGTGCAGCTGGTTCCTGGCACCGAGCAAATACTCCCAAGCTGATCCATTAGAAAGATGGGCCCAACAAGACACCCAGGTGGGTTCCTAAACACGAAACCCAAAAAGCAACTCTCGGAAAATGCACCCCAAAAAACCCGGGAACTCGTTTTTTGAACACGGACCGCTTGTGTTCCTTCCGTTTGGGACGGTCCTGTTGCGTCCGTCTGTCATGAGCACGGTGTGCCTGCGGTGCACTCAAGAACCACAAGGCAAACTGATGGGAGTGGTTCCTTTTTTCTGTGGCATCCTTTTCAAATGGCTCTAAGGGGAACAACTGCGAACCAACATGTGTGTTCTTCCTCTTTTTTTGTGTGTGTAAGTGTGTGTGTGTGTGTGTTTTCAAGATGATTCCCCAGGAGGACATGGGAATATTCGGGCGTGTCCCCTCCTTTGTGGTTGACATTCACTGAGTCTCCCATGTCCAGAACCCCAAACGATCCATAGACTGGTGATGTTGACCGAACCTATATATGTGCCAGGGTCACAACTCCCATCACTCCCTCAGGATCCCTTACCTTAAAGGTCCATGACCAGCCCTGCTTTGCCCAACTGGAAGTGCGTCCAACCGCACATGCTATGGGTTCCAATGAATCATCCTCAGTCCCTGAGCAGGTGCAATCAATGAAACGAACGAGTAAATGCGGAATCAATCAAGCGAGAGGATCATGGTTCGCTGATCCCTCTTTGTCTCCTTGTCACATTTGCCACATTCCGGTGCAAGTGTCACTGCCATGAGTCTGTGCCTCAGGGAACAGGCGGGATGCTTCATCCAATCGTAGTCTCGCCGTTGCAGTCATAGTATCTGGGCAAACAGTGAGGGGCACGCAACCAGAGTCACCATCAGATCACTTTCAAACCGAGCATCCAAACGGATCTCTGCACCTACTTACGCTTGGGACTTCCTTACTCGTCTCCACTTACTCAGAAACATGACAATGGGTATGTCTCGAAATGAGGGGACCCCTGAAACGGTGACTTTTCGTGTTGGCTCCCCTTGAAACCAACCCTCAGAAGGGTACCCTCAAGAAAACACACCCCCAAATAGCGATGCTCACGCCTTCCGGTATGTGTAGAGCAGGCTTTGTCAGGAAGCCGGTCTCCTGGCTGTCAACCACGAGTCCAGAAGGCCTTCTGATTGAAAATGGCCACAATGCTGACACCAACTTTCTTGCAGCTTAGCATGGAACGCAAAAAGCCATCGTAAAACAAGCTACTCAGGACTCCCTTCTTGGGTTCCATGTTACTTTGTTCAATCAGCGTGTAGAACCCCCGCTTGGTTGGAACGGCTGATAGGAACTTCCGTCCCAAGTAGAACCCCTTGCTTGCTTCCCTAAAATTAACATTGTATCTAAAAAGAGGGCCCCCCAAACTGAGACTTTTCGAGAAACTGGGTCTCGCATGTCAACCTACACAGGTATAACCATGGCCCCTTAAAAGGATACATCTAAAAACCACCTGCTCTGCAAGCCTCTAAATCAACTGGTATTTGGGGCGAGTGTTTGAGTATCCAATTACCCTTGGGTTGCCAGAAACTCATCTAGAGTAGTGGTGAGTCTTAAAATCACCCAAAAACATGGTGATGGCCTGTTCCCTTCCTTGAAAACAATCCAAAAGGGAAAAGATGCGCCCAAAATCCCGGGCCAAAGACGTGGCGCCACCTGCGAGCCGGGCTTGGCCGCAATGGACTCGGTGCGGTTGAAGAACCTGCGGAAGCTCTATGGATCGCAACGCAACAAGGATCGTACACATAGATGTAATCATATGTGCATACATGTATATATATATATATATATATATGCGTGTGTATACACATACAAATAAAAAGGGAGAAAAAAACATGTGGTTGGTTGGTTGCTTGCTTGCTTGGTTAGTTGGGTTGGTTGGTTCGCTGGACGGATGGATAGATGGATGGATGGCCCGCAGGCCTCTGCGGCCAACGGAAACCGTCCTCCATTCCACCCTGCACCCTTGAACACAAGGCCACCAAAAACAATATTTGCTACGAGAACAAACCTGCGTGGCAAAAATTGGCAGAACAACGAAGGAGGCGGCCAGAAGATATTATCGTATATGTGAATATGCATGCATCAGGACAAATAGAAAGAGAAAACGGAAACAAATGACGGTTTATGTATGTATATAGATACATATATATATATACACACATGTGTACATGCATATATATATATATATGTATTATATGCATGTGGCGGCTGATCAATATTATTGTCTCCGAAAATCTTCGCCAAACAATATATTTTGCCTCCATCACCGTGACCTTTACTAGCCCTATGCACCTCAAAGCACTTGCGGTTCCAGCTCGAAGGTTGCAACTTTGCTGCACAGGTGTGATAAAGGAAGCGCAGTTTGGCAGCTCTGGCTCAAAAGTCGCAACTGTTCAGTACACATGTAGTAAGGGAAGCGCAGTCTGGCAGCTCTGGCTGCAAGTCGCAACTTGTCCGCGCAAGCGCAGCAAGGAAGTGCAATTTGGCAAATCCGGCTCGAGTCACAACTTTGCAGGACTAGTGGGGTAAAGGAAGCACACTTTGCATTGGCACCTCGCAACTCAAGAGTACAAGTGTGTCAAAGATTGATTGCTTTGGCAGCTCCGGCTCAAAAAATGCAACTTTCAGCAAAAGTGTAGAAAACGAGGTACACTTTGGCAGCTCCGTTCTGAGAAAATTCGCGCAAATCTTTCGGGGAATAAAAAGAAACAATTACAATGACTTCTTGATCCCATATGTGTTAATACATACCAATGATCTGGCCTCACGCACCCGGCCTTGGCGGCGACAAGGACCTTGGGCCGCGAGCTGCCTCCTCGCGCGCGCTTTGGCACTTGCAGTCTGCTTCAGAGCCATGGGATCATAACCTATGGCTCTGAATCACTATTGGAAGCATGCTTGCACAGGTTAACATAGCCAGGCCGCCAATTTGACCAATTAGTGGAGTTGTTAAGGGGCGCTGCCCGCGTCATGTCTTCAGCTCTTGCTGGGACACCGGGAACGACAAAACCCCGCGCTCCTCGCTTGGAAGCTCGCACTTTTTGCATGGCCGCGGCATTTTGGGATATCTGAAGTTGTGTTTTGCTGCCTGATGTCATGAATGCCAAAAGCCTGCCACACACACACACACCCGCACACCGCAAGTCTTTTGTTTATATGTCACGCCTTAGAAACAACATCACGCACTGCCTGCCCTGTCTTTCTCAACACAGACTTCAGATCGACCTACGTGAGCCTTCAAACATATCCATGTTCAGGCCATTCCTCGCTCCCAAACCTCACCTCAAGCCCAGAAGAAGATCGCAAACTCGATGTTTTACAACGCATCTCCAAGCTGGAGCCCTTGCCGGTGTGAGACTTTGCCCACCCGGTGTCCAGCACACCTTCCAGGAGTCATGAAAAACCGGCGGCTCATCTCATCCGTCGCTCGGCGTGCTCGGGCACTTTGACACAAGCAGTTCGGCGGTGGCAGCTTTTGGCCTCCAGCATGGCGTGTCTCAAACAGATCCCTTTGATCAGGGAAAAAGGATGACATAAAAATAAAGGGAAACCAAACTGTTGGAGTCCCTCATTTTGGAGACATCCTTCGTCAGAATGGCGGCTTGAAGTGGCCGCATGCACAGCGCCGCACCCGGGTGTGAAGCTTGTCCCCATGCCGGGATAAGACCTTGATGCACTGGCATTGGTCTTACCTCCCTGAGGAAAAAGCTATGCGTCAGTAAGGCACCTGCCATTTTCCTGATTTGGTTGAGCTGAAGGCGTGCTCTTGGAAGAGCTGAGCATACTCCTCCTACGGCCAACAGCTGCACGATGCGGGATCGTTTGTGTCCTCCTGGAAAGATGGATGGCACTGACAAATGGTTTCAACCAATGTGAAATCAGTGCCCATGTTCAACCAAACTGACCTGAAATCAACCAAACTTACCTAAAAGGATGACCGTGTGCAGGATGCATCTATCACTTTCGACCTCCTGGGTGCGCGGCTGGAATTGATCGCATCTTCTTGGATGTGCCACACGCCCTCTCGCCGTTGCAAAAACTGTGCAGCAAACCTTCAGGGACGGGCGACGCCGAAAAAAGGCTCCCTTGTCGAGCACCGTGCAGTGGCTTCGAAAGCCGGGTATATAACCCACTTCAACAGCTATCATTACTTCGCTGCAGTGTCTAACACGCGAATGGCCCCGCTGAAAGAAAGCAACTCGAGCGCATGTCACAAAGAGCTTTGCTTGCGTCAAGGGCCTCTGCGCCGCATGGCTGGCTCCTTCCGGCTGTCCAGCCTTGGCTGAAGGATGGGACCAAAAGTTTCTCTCAGCCTTGGGATGCCGCCACTGGAGCAAGAGGAGAATCAGCACGCCCATGCCGAGCGCCAGCCTCAGGCAGTGCGTCAAAAGCTGGGGCCCTAGGGCCCATTTTGGATTCCGAACATGGGCTTGCCCTTAACACCGAACATGGATCCCGTTTAAAGAGCACGCACCCACGGTGACTGGCAGTGAAGATGCCCAAGTTGGATTGATGGCGTTTCGGTGCAAAGCTACCAAGAGGGATCCTCGAAGAGGCTCTTGGAGACGTCAATGCGAGTTGTGAACATGCTGCGGTGGAAACAGGACGGAGAAGCTGGGATTCGGCATTTCCACTTGCATCATGCCGGATACACTGGGGCATGCACACGCTCAAAATCAATAGTGGAGCGTAGGTGCCACTCGTTGATTTCATGAGCTCCTGCAGACCCGGCCGCACCAGGGTGTCTTTTTTGAGGGAACTCTCAGAATGAGTTGTGTCCTTTTGGTTGTTCTTGAAAAAACAAAAAACAAAAACGGCCACCCTTAGAGAAAAACACCTTCACTGCAGCTCAGTGTCCACATGCACTTTTTGCAGACCCAGTCCTGCATCCAGGACACAGCTGTCACGGTGTCCTTCTCCTGCCAAGTCTGTGTGGGTCCTTTCTTGGGGTGGGAAACCAATGAAAAACCACACATTTAGTGTTGTTTTGAGGGCAGCCTTGTCCCCGTTGTTTCGAGGCCAAAGGAAAACTGAAAATTGTGTCGAGCCCAAACCCTGTTTTGACACATGCCTCTTGGTGCAAATGGAACGAATCAGCCACTACTGCAAGGGCCTGGTCTCGTTTACACAGCGGTCTGACTGTTTGTGAGCATTCCATTGCCACCTTTCCCCACCCCATCCGCGCTGCCTGAAGTGTCTGTGGAGCCTCTTTCGCAGCGGGTGCATCTGTTGAAGATGCAAACCTTGCAACCTGAAAGCAGATTACGATTGCGACACAAGAAACAAGTAAAGCAAGCTCAGCCAACTGATCAACTGATCACAACGCGATTTGCCTGCAAGAGTTGTAGACTGCCAGCATCGTCCTCCTCCATGGAGAGGCCAAATGCCTCACAGCTTTTGATCAAGCATCTCTAAATTTCTTCAAGCGCCCGGACGAAATGGTTCACGCTTCGCCAAGAGGACATGGGAATTGGGCGGGCTCCCAGCCTTTATGGGAGATCAACATATGCTCTTCCTGTAAAGGGCATTGACGATTAGTTGGACAGGAGCATCAGGAGCGGAAAATCAACAAGGTATCAAACGTTCTAAAGGCTTTACAAAAAAGACATGCAAAGCATCAAAAGGGGCGGTTTTTCACCTATTTCTGGCTGGGACCGCCGTAACCTCCATTTACCCGAATCAATTGCCACCGAAATCCTGAAGCAAAGATGTGCCCATGCGCCGTGCCTTGGCAAGATCATCCTGGGCCTCGCAGGAACTGCCACACCTGGCTTGCGGCTGGCGGGCTGCGCCCTTGAAACCATGGACTCCTGGAGCTAACCATTGGTTCCAACGGACCAAATTTGTTTCCAAAAGGGCCAAGGTCACACAAAGGGCCACAAGTGGCCAAAAGGGACAAAGACTTGCCATGCTTAGAAGGAAACTGACTTGAGTCACAATGAATGCTGGTATGAAAGTGGCTTAGACAAAACCAAGCAAAGAATCAAAAGGGCGGGGTATCTCCGTGCCTGATTCCGTCGGAGGCTGTTCCCGGCCAACCTTCATCTACCGTGGTTCCCTTGAGGATGCTCCCACAACCGGGAGTTCAAGTATTGAAGCGAGGCTGGCACTCTAAACTCCATGCCAGAGGGGCGCTTCTCCCAGCGTCAGAGCAAGAACGGCGTAAGATTGGAAGACAAGTCTGCTGGTCCTCCAAATCGTTTCAGTCACCTTTATCCCTGAGGCTACCTTGCCCAGGGCCTCAACAGGAACTGGGGTTCCTCTGCCCAAAAAAACACCACCTATAAACCACCCACCTGAAGGAACTGAAGGTCTGCCGTAAAAATATTCCCCGATTCACGGGGTACCTGAGTCTGACTAATCACTCACGCTATGCCCTCCTCCTCATCAAGCTGGAAGGCGCTCACGCCTCGAAATCTTTCGGGGCCCTTTGCTGACTTTGGACATGAGGCTTACAGGGTCTCCCCCAAAATTGGGAGGAGGGGGGGGTGCCTGAAATGGTTGGCCTCCTTTTGGCTTCCCTTTATATGATGTCGACCCCATATTGATCGACCCCTGTGTATTGATCAGATCCGAGGGTGTTCCCCTCCAAAAGTGAGGATTCCCCAGAACCCAGAAACATTCCCCTATTAATCCGCCGACCCCTTGTCCGCAAGGGCAAGCACACGGGAAGGGTGGATACACATCTCGGAGGATCAAAGCTTGGCTCCGGCTATCCAAAATGATGTTTTCACCCTTATCGTCATCATCATCATGATGGTCATCATCGCCCTTTATCATCATAATGGTCGTCAGCATTTCTTTCCTTTACTTTTATATACACATTTCAAGTGTGCCGTTAGGCAGCATTGGCAATGCAAAGGATGCTACGATGATAATGCAGAGGGTGCTACGATGATAGTTATCATCACTGTCATCATCCTTATCATCATCCTCATGGTCATCATCATCACCCTGATCATCATCATGGTGGCGTCATCATCACCCTTCAGAAAAAGATGCCTGGTCGCCCAGGATGGGAAACCTGCACTTGAAAGACGGCACTACCATCGAAGCTGGGGAAGCAGCCCTCTACTGCGTACGGAGAGATGACCATCATCACATCGCAGGCGCTCATTGACTGAACCTGCTGTTTCTTCTTGGGCGAGAGCTTGGGTCCTGCGCTTGCCTCGCCTGCAAGGCTCGCAGCGCTTGCCTGCCCAACCGTGCCCAACTCACACACACACACACACACACACACACACACACACACACACACACACCCCAAGCCTGCGACTGCTCCGTCTGCGCCGCGTTCGCTTTCGGCGCCGCAACGCTCGCTTTTGGCGCCACGTCAACTTGCAATTGCCTAGAGCGCTTGAACCCGCTGTGCGAGAAGGCCCTCGAGCAATGGGAGGCGTCCAAACCGCCAATGATACTCCCAATTTCTGACTTTGACAGCACTGAGCAATTGCCAGCATCATCCCGGATGATGCGGATGATGCTACGAATGCTGGCGATGCGAGACCAGGGGCTGAAAGTTGCAGAAAACGAAGGGGAAATGCAGGGAAACAGGAGTGACTGGAAGAAGTGATAGGAATTGCACGAAAAAGGGCAGAACGTGAAGGGAGCCAGAGGACGGGACCGAGAAGACATTGTTGGAGATTATGCGAAACGAAGAGAAACTGAAGAGAAATGAAGAGCTCTAGGAAATGGAGGGAGCTGAAACGGAAATGAAGTGAAAGGAAGTGAAGGGAAATGCCAGGAGACTGTCGGGGAAGACATGCAGAGGAAAGCTCAAATCCCGAAACTCATGAAAGAACCACCGGGTCGTCTGGCGCCGTGGTTGTGATACGGCCGAAGGCCTAAGCCGGAGGCCTACCTTCACGTATAAGGGCCGGCGGTTCCTGCCGCCGACCCCGCGCCGAAGATGGCCGAACTTTGTGCTGCGCCCGCACTAATAATGGGCGAAGAATCCATGTGTGTCTGGGCAATTTTTGACGATTTCCCCGCGGAGTCAAAAAAACGGGCGTTTTTCTTGGTGGTGCCCATAGTGGACAACATGAAATGGAATGGAAATGGAAAAAAATGATGCAAAATTGATGGAACATGTGTGGAAACTGGATGCAAGATTGATGCAAAATGTCGGAAAATTGGATGGGAAATTGGAGGTCCTCCACCCATTTTCCAAGCATGTTCCATCAATTTTCCATCAGTCCTCCATCCACGTCTCCACCAATGTCCCAATAATTCTCCATGGCAGTGCCACACATTTGCATCAATTTCATCCTTTTGCGATCCTTTTTCCATTCATTCCATCTATGCATTTTTTAGGAACTTTCCATCAATTGTCCATACATTTTCCACGCATCCTTTTTCCTCCAGTTTCCGCTAATTTTCACCAATGTCCCTCCATTTCCCTTCTTGGTCCATTTTCCAGCAATCCTGCATGAATTTCCCATCCAAATTTCCGTACATTTTCGATTGATGCATCCAGTTTTTCACTCCATCCAGCAACTGCATTTGAATTGTCTTTCCGGCTTCCCTACATGTTCCATCAATGTCCAGCTACATTTCCCATCATTTCCCCGCAAGTCCTTTCACTGGCATGGACAACATCCCCAGCATCCGCAGCATCATCCGCATCCTTGGCAGACATTGGTGCGGATGATGCAGGTCCGCGGGGTAATCGTCAAAAATCGGCCTTCACAGTGCGGGTGGCCAGGCCAAGCTGCAGCCGCTGCTGGGGCGAACCGACCAATTCGCCAGGGAGACGTTCGTGGGGCCCAGGATCTGCTCCCCTACGGCAGCCACGACCTCGTCGGCGCTGCCATCGTCCGGGAATGAAGGATCAAATCGTTGCCCAGCACTCCGTGCATTTGAGTTCAACCCCCCCTCCCCTAAAAGGCTAGGTGGTTCGCACCGGTTCGCACCGGTTCGCACCGGTTCGCGCCGGTTCGCACCGGTTCGCGCCGGTTGGAACCGGTTCGCGCCGGTGGGCACTTGCGAAAGTGCTGCGACTGCCACGAAATCTGTACCTGACACCGGCAATTTTCTCCTTGTTTGGATGTGTTTTCCCTTGACCGTTGCGCACTTCTATAGAACTTTGCCCGGCCGGCCTGCGTCGAACTCGCTCCCCTCCAAGAATTAACCGACCAGCGCAAAACCCGCGCGTGCCACGAAACTTGTACCCAACCTTGCGAAAGTGCTGCGCGTGCCACGAAAATTGTACCTGACCTTGCGAAAGTGCTGCGCCTGCCAAGAAATCTGTACCTGACCTTTCGAAAGTACTACGCCTGCCACGAAACCTGTACCTGACCTTGCGAACGTGCCGCGCCTGCCACGAAATCTGCACCTGACCTTGCGAACCTGCTGCGCTTGCCACGAAATCCGTACCTGACCTTGCGAAAGTGCTGCGCCTGCCAGGAAACCCGCGCAAACCCGCGCGAATCCACACAAGCCCGCGCAAACCCGCGCAAACCCGCGCGAACCCGCGCAAACCCGCGCGTGCCACGAAATCTTTGTACCTGACCTTGCGAAAGTACTACGCCCGCCACGAAATCCGTACCTGACCTTGCGAACATGCTGTGCCTGCCACGGAATCTGCGCCTGACCTTGCGAGAGTGCTGCGTATGCCACGAAATCCGTACCTGACCTTGCGAAAGTGCTGCGCCTGCCAGGAGACCCGCGCAAACCCGCGCAAACCCGCGCAAACCCGCGCGAACCCGTGCCAACCCGCGCAAACCCGCGCGAACCCCGCAAACCCGCGCAAACCCGCGCAGAACAAATGGGGACACATTTCCCCCCGCACTGCGACAAGTCGTGACACAGCCGTTTGAGACTGAGTCTTGATGGCGAAGGGTACCCTTGTGTCCTCATGGCCCTCACCAGACTTCCCACTGGCAATCACCGTCTCCACTCACATCGAGTCGGACTTTGGAACGCGTGCGGAGCGCTTTGTCCAGGTCCAATATGCCTGAGCGACTTCAGCCGGGACTCATCGAGCAGCTTGGAGGGATGCCCTCTTCCATGTCCACGTCAGAAGGAGGAGTGAGCCTCTCACTTTGTTCAGGGATCCAAACGACCTAGGCGGACCAGTCGGCCTTCGACATGCTGGAGGGCGCGGTGGCCACGAAAAGCACCCCCGACGGCGTGGACCTGAAGCTGGCAAACTACAGCACCACGGCAGCCATGAACGGCTCCATGGCCTCGGCGAACAATGCCACGCTGGCCACGGTGGCTGCCAACTACGGCCCCAAGACGGTGGTGGACCAGCACTCCCTCGACATCGCAGCAAGGATCACGCCGCTCCATCTCGGGCCTCGGACTCTTCGGCGCTGGGTCGGCGGCAGGAACCGCCGGCCCCTATACCTGAAGGTAGGCCTCCGGCCTAGGCCGTTGGCCGTATCACGACCCCGGTGGCCGGATTTGCACGCTACGCGACACAGCCGGGAGCACCTTATAATCTGAACATCTTAAGCCTCTTAAACTCTTACAATATTGAAATATTGACATCTCAAAGTTTTAACATCTTCAATTCCAAGAATCTGAAATCTTAAAATTCTAAACTCGTAAAACGGATTCAAAATGGATTGAAAATGGATTGAAAATGGATTGAAAATGGCCTGGCTTGAAATCTTGCAGCCCAAATCTTCAAAGCCTCAGTATCTTGAAATCTTCGCGTCTCAAAATCTTAAAAACTGAAAATCGTGGACGGGTGGGTGGGTGCAGGAACGGGCCTGACGGGCTGGGTTCTCGGTGGCTGGCTGTATCGCGTAGCGTGTAAATCCGGCTATGTTTTTTGGGGTAGCATGTCGCCGCTAGGCAATTTGCCTGCTAGCTTCGGCTATAGGGGCTGCGCCCGTGCGCCGCCGACCATCACTTGATCGTGATGCGTTGCCTAAATTTGGCACCTCTGCATCACCAGCCCGGGCTTGCGGTTTTGCTTGCCTGCGGCAAACCCTTGCAAAACATCGCGTATATGCAGGGCTTAGGCCTGGGGTTGGGCCTGGGTGGTGCTTCAGCGGGGCTTGGTCTGCATCGTCAAGACTTCCTTCCAAAAAAACCTCTCAACCCATGAAGCACTGCTTTTTAGAAGGTACCGAAGGAATATAAGCAAGGCTCATTTTCGCGCATTTTGGCGCGCTGCCGGGCATGCTGGCGATGCTGGGCCCTCGCTCTACAAAACGCCGCAAATGACGTCAAAAACTGCTATGCTGAGCGTTGGCTGTTGTTCTGTACATTTTGCTTTTGTTGTGGCTGGCTCGGGCGCTGCGCGGTCCTTGCTTTTTCCGCGTTGGTTTTCGGACCTTCTGGCACGTGACCCCAGCCACAAAACGCCGCTATTTGCGGTGTTTTGTTGCATTTCCGGGCTGGCGTGCGGGCTGTTCTTTTTGGGCTGCTCGTTCTGCCTCTGGCGCGCGCGCGCGACCCCATGTGAACCTTCTGGGTTGGGGCCCGGCTGGGGCCCGGAAAGCTGGCATCCCCGTCATTATGTGGGGTTGGAGTGGGCAACGTGCATAACCGAACCAGCCATATCACAGCACAGGATGCGGTCCTCATACAAAAAACATGACATGACATGGTATCACTTAAAGAGGCGTAGCCGGCTAGAAGCCGCAGGCCCAAAAGATAAACTGGGGTTGATATGGGGTCAACATTGGAAGGGAAAAGGGGGACCACCAAGTTTGAAAACACCAGGAACCCTCGCAACACCAGGTACTAGAATCTCCTACGGCCAATCGGAGTTTGGGGCGCTCAAATCACATTCCGAAATGCTGTGGTCGCGGCTCAAAATCTCTTGGCAATCTGGATCGGACCTGGCGGCGATATTGCAGCTTGACAACTGGTTGTGAGTGTGGCGCACCACCAGGTAGCATGCGAATTCAGGCAGACCTCAGAGATCAACTTGGGTCCTTGACTGCTGTACCTGTGGTTTGTGCTCCTGGCGCATGTTGTTTCGTTTTTTTTTGGCCCGAAATCCAAAGAAGTGGCGCATGGGCCTCCCAAAGATGCTGCAAGAACGCAGTCGGCAACAGACCTCAAGGAGCCTCCCGCAAGTGGCTGCAAGCTAAGCTGAGGCCGGGTCAGCCAAAGTGAGGGGCTGTGACCAAAGCGCTGTTTCCACCAAGAGTCTGTGAGCCACAGGTCCGCCCCATGCAAAAAATGCCTCAAAACGCATGGCTCTGTTCATAGCAAATCTGAGCGGCCTGAGCTTGGCGCCCTGGTTCACTTTTCAATTCTCTGAAGTTGCAGTCCAAACGCAATTGTTTTGTTGACGTGGACTGCACATGGGTCATGCATGCACTAGCTAGTCCTTGCTTCTTTGAAACAGGACGAAGAAAATGGAGCAATGACGGAAACGGTTCAAAACATCCCCCAGAATGACGAGCGCTATCTTTTCCTTGCTGAGGCCCCAGTCTTTTCCGGCCCCTTCAGGCAAGGGCCAGGCGGTTTCGGGGGACCCTGGGGTTTCCATGGCTCAAACGCAAGATGCGGCCTGAAGATACGTGGCCATCGCTTCGTGAAGGTCCTCTCTTCACATCAACTCGCAGGATCTCGAGAGCGTGGAGGTAATGGCACGGGCCATGTTGCCCGTTCCCATGTGTCTGCGCGGGGCAGAAGACATCTCGGCCTTGGGGTCGAGGTGGTTTAAATGGCGCAGTGAGGTGAACTCCTGCAAGGGTTGGACGAGATTCCCACAACAGCAAATCCCTCGTGTTCAAACAATCTCCCCTTTGTTTTCCCTTTGAAGCAATCGGTCTAAATTGGGTCCAGTTTTGTTGTTTCATCCGGAATTTTGCCCAACCCTGCCTGCAACACCTTGAAATGCGTGAGAAGCGTTGGCTCCTGGTCGAACAAGCAGTACTCCAGCTCCAAAGGCACGCGGCCCTCTTTCATAATCGACTGCAGCAGG